GATGAAGATCAAAGACTACCCCTTCAGTATGGATTACACCTCAACATAAAGAAAACAAAAATCCTCACAACTGGACCAATAAGCAACATCATGATAAAAGGAGAAAAGATTGAAGTTGTCAAGGACTTCATTTTATTTGAATCCACAATCAATCTGCATGGAAGCGGTAGTCAAGAAATCAGATGATGTATTGCACTGGGCAAATCTGTTGCAAAAGACCTCTTTTAAAGTGTTGAAAAGCAAGGATGTCACTTTGAGCACTAAGGTGCACCTGACCTAAGCCATGGTATTTTTCAATCACCTCACATGTACGCGAAAGCTGGACAATGAATAGGGAAGACCGAAGAATTGATGGCTTTAAATTATGGTGTTGGTGAAGAATATTGAATATGCCATGGACTGCCAGAAGAATGAACAAATCTGTCTTAAAAGAATAGCCATAACGCTCCTTAAAAGCAAGGATGGTGAGACTTTGTCTCATGTACTTTGGACATGTTATCAGGAAGGAGCAGTCCATGGAGAAGAACATCATGCTTGGTAAAGTGGAGGGTCAGTAAAAAAGAGGAAGACCCTCAATGAGATGGACTGACACAGTGGCTGCAATAGTGGGCTCAAACATAGCAACAATTGTGAGGATGGCATGCAGGACTGGGCAGTGTTTTGTTCTGTTGTACTGAGATGGAACTGACTCAATGGCACCTAACATTAATAATACTTATGTGTAGACACTGTTCTGGGCTTTCATGGATACCAGGATGTATACGATATACCCCAGTTCTCACAGAGTGTGACACAGCAGAGGAGGCAAACATACACAGATTAACAAACTACTAAAAACTGTATGATGAACATTAACACATTCCCCATTCTCACCAGGCCAACCTGCACACTAAGCTTATTCCTACTACCGTGGTTTTAAATATCATCCATAGTGTGTTATACAATTGGGTGTTTAATAACATTGTCATACTTTACTACTGTATCAATCTTTTGTTTTCACCCTCCCTTCAAAAAAAAAAAAAGGGTTTCTTAAGCTCAAGGACTCCAGCTTTTCTTATTTCACAGGAGTGTTAATGATAATGCTGGCCATGTCTTTGAATGAGACTTTGTTTGGATTAAATGATTTATTGCACTTGAATTCACTGGCCGAATGTGGTGACTGACCCTGTAAGAGAAATTCAGAGAAAATAAAAGGTGTGATGAAGAGCTGCTCTCTGCCAGCCTTTTAAGCAGTCGTAGTTATGGAGGGATTGAATGCAGGGGCATTCCCTCAACCTCCATGCTATTCTAGCCAGAGCTAAACAGTGAATAGAGGGAAATGTGGTTCTGAGTCTGTGAATATAACCTACAGAATTTCATATCTAACCATTATTCATAGTATCTGGACTGTGAAAATAACTATAGAAGATAATTTTCCTACTCTTTTTATAGACATCAAAGAACTTTTTTAAAACAGCGAAGTCACATGTAAAGAAAGCTTCCTATAGCAGATACACAAGTTAAGGAAAAAATCAACATCTTTGGGAAGTAAAACTAAGAGTGACATTGTTTTGTACTTTTATTTGTATGAATTTGTGTAAATTTTCTAGAATAGGCACACTTTTTAAAATCTTAAAAATTTACAAAAATACAAAGATAAAAACTTAGAAACAAAATCTGCAAAAATAATTTCTAATTCTGGTTTATTTTGGAGTGTCTCTCACTTGTATTTTTCATATATACTTATATTTGTATGTTTATATTTTTTAAATCATAAAAGCTACCATATTTGTTCATACCATTTGGTAATCAATTTTCTTTACACAAAATTATTTGCTTTGGTAATATTCTTCTACAAGTTACTTTTAATGATTGTACAGTATTTCATTTTTTGAATGCACCAAAATTTAATGAGTAACTTCTTACTGTTAAATTTTCAGATTATTTCTAGTTTTTCAATAGTACAAGTAATGTTACAATAAGCATCTTTTTATCTCTCTCTTAAATTCCTAGAATTGGAATTCTGTGGAGAAGGATATGCAAACTTTAAACATTTTTCATTTGCATTGTCAAATAATGATTGGGGAAGTTTATGTCAATGACTAAGTCAAGCAATAAGAAATGCTCACACTAGATATTGTCTTTTTATTCACTGACAATGTACTGGTCAAAAAGTATGTTGTTTTAATCCACATTTCTTTAAGATTGTACACTTTTTTCTTACGCATTTCTTCTTTGGGAATTACCTGATCATGTCCCTTTGCCTCTTTTTCCTTGGAGTTGATAGCTTTTTTTTAAGTTCTTTATATATTAAGGATCAATATTTTATAATAAACATGATTATATTGCTTCATTTCCAACTTTCATGCTTGTTTATAGTGATTTGTAGCTAATTTTTTTTGTAGAGTATCATTCTCTGTCTTTTTTTTTTCTTATGTTTGCATAATAATATATTTAAACTCATGACACAGTTTAAACATCTGAAAACCAGAAGCATCAACTTTGGAAAAAGAACAATTACTGGGAAAAGTAATTCATTATAAAAACAGAAAAAGAATAGCTTTTTTTTGAAAGTGCAAAAATAATAAAGTCCTTTAAGAGCTCTTTATAAGAGCAAAGCAAAGCATTCAACGTACGTCAGAGTAATATACAACTTCACAATTATGCATCCCCTAAGTCTCTACCTCTACCCCTAAATCTTGTATTGATTTGTGATCGTTTGAGAGTCATCATATGTGGAAATGCATGAATTAGCAGGATCAAGTACAAGAATGAGGCCAGGTGGTTCTATAGGACCAGAAATGAAAAAATTTGATTAAGAATTATTTTAATTGTTTAACCATTCCTACTATTATTTAAACTGTTTAACACTAATGGGTGTTTTTAAAGACCCCCTCCCTTTTTTTTTTTTAAGCATAAATGATCTGCAATATTCCCACTGGGAAATGATATATTCACAAGCATTTTGGACAAGATGACTCCAGTCATATTAAAGTTTTATTACAGGCGCTTATATGCAAAGATTTCAGTACTTTTTGCTACTTCTAATCATTTAGCAAGGTCGTCAGTTATAGTCCAAATAAGAAAATATAAACAAAATTAACTTTATTTTTTTAAAACTCTAGTTTGATTTATTTTATACATTTTAAAATGCAATTAAACCCTTATTTGATGATGATTCTCTTTCTGTTCCTTTAACTATGAAGTCTCTGAAGACTCACAACTTGGTGAAATCATCTTCAGTTGTGGCAGGAATGTTAAACAGGTAACTATGTAATTTTTCCAAGTAGTACTTGCTTTTTAACTTTGATTAAATGCCATATTTAAATGCAAATATTAGAAAATATTAACATTTCATGTGGTCACAGTTCACAAACGCTTTGCTCCAGCCTGAACATTGACCATTGAAAAATAAATGCCTTTCTGTGCCAGCAGCTGTTGGTGCGTGCCATGCTCCTTGATTTTGCCATTCTCAAACACCACTATTAAGTCTGCATTCTGGATGGTGGAGAGGCGGTGAGCGATCACAATGCAGGTGCGGCCTTCTCTGGCTTTGTCCAAGGCTTCTTGGACAACCTGTTCAGTAATCACATAAATTAATTCTGATGCAAAGTCTTCTCCCTTTAACTCCTCCTCCATAACAAGCCAAAAAAGCAGCAAATTTAGGAAGCCTGTGCAAAGCTTGTAAGATAGGGAACATCTCAGAATGACTGAAAACCTCTCTTCCTTTTTACAAGCTCAGTTTGTCTTTCAGACATCTTAGCACTCAGCCTTTTCTCAAACTGAGAATGATTGCTGATATTTACCTTAAGGGACAGACAGATTTTCAGATTGTTTTGCCCTCCCTCTGGTTCCTGAGCTGACACTGCCAGCAGAAATAGGAAATATGCCTCCTGAATGCAGATTCTTAGACCAATACAAAGTGATCCAGGGCTATTTTTTGGAGCTTAAGTGCTATACAACTAATTTGCCAGGTGCCAGCTTAGTTTTCTGGAATGACAGCTACAAAAAGCTGTTTCAGTGTAAATTCCACTGAAAGCTGACATGAGTAACAACTTATCTGGCTAAATTCTAGTCTCTACTATGGAAGATAAAAGCATAAATTTAAACCTTTTAATGACAACTAATTTAAAGTGTGAATGAGTCCAATTTAATCCTTACCTTTTCACTTTCTGTATCCAGAGCTGATGTAGCTTCATCCAAAAGCAAAATACAAGGCTGTCTAACAAGGGCACGAGCTATGGCAATTCGCTGTTTCTGGCCACCAGAGAGCTGAGATCCTTTGTCTCCTACTCTGGTGTTATATTTCTGTAAATCAGGTTTTGTTATTATTGAAAGTAGAACTGATGACAAAGTTCTTACAGAAGATAGGATAACAACTTCCACAAAAAAGTATAGGTTCACAAAGCTAAAAATGGGTCCACAGAGAGTTAAACAACAATAAAAAAAGGCTTAAATGGCATGTTTTAACCTCTCTTCTTGAAAATAGATGTTTGGGTCTTAAAAGCATATGTTTTAGTGTAAACAAGCCAACAATTATGTGAAGAAGAATATTATTGCAATGTTAGTTTCTTTCAGTTATCTGGTTTCTTATGTTTGGGACAAGGATTGATAGCAGAAACGAAGTTTGATTTGAAGAAGTTACACACAAAATAATTGAAGATCATTTTATTTATAACCAGCAGGTGGCACTCTCTGCATCGTTTAAAAGAAAGGAAAACACTCATTCTTGGGACACAGTCCGCCTTTGGGTGTCTGTTTTTATAAAACTATCTCCAATGCTTAAACAAGTTTAATGAATGCTAAATAATTCTATTTTGATATCTAACTCTGAAAGCTGAATTTTTTTTTTTTTTTACTTTTAGAATTCTTCCTAAATTCCTCAAATATTGTTTCCCACAGCAGATAACTGTCAATAAATATTCAGTAAGAAAATAGGGACAAGAGTTAAAGGGTATGTAGAAAAGAGCAGAAATCTGACGTGACAGCATGTGTAACATAGGAAACAATACTATCTTCTTATTTTCAGTCCTTGCGAGGCTGAAATTTTAGCAAAATTGTGGGCTCTGATTCTCACACCCAGAGACTTACTTTGAAATTCATGTTCTTTACATGGCTGCCTATTTTAATTTGCTAAATCAGGCAACCTTAGTTCTCTTGTACTCAGATCGAGGTCTTTACCTGCAGATGGAGCGAGGAGCCCCCAGGTGACTCTGGCAGACACATGGGACTGGCTGTTCCACACTGGTGATACCAAAACCCAACCAAACCCGCTGCCATCCAGTTGATTCCAACACATAGCAACCCTGTAGGATAGAGTAGAACTGTCCCATAGAGTGTCCAAGGCTGTAAGTCTTTACAGAAGGAAACGGCCACATCTTTCTTCCTCGGAGCAGCTGGTGGGTTCAAACCTCCTTTCGGTTAGCAGGTGAGTGCTTAACCACCGTGCCACCAAGGCTCCTTCCCCTTAGCCTAGAGGTTCTCAAACATTAGCCAGCATCAGCAGTACCTGAGGGCTTGTTAAAAAAGATTGCTGGGCTCCACCTCCAAAGTTTCTGACTCAGGTCTGGAGCGGAGCCTGAAAATTTGTGTTTCTAACAAGCTCCCAGGTGATGCTGACGTGCTGATCCACACCCACACTTTGAGAACTAAACCCACTGCGGTGGGGTCGATTCTGACTGGTAGTGTAACTACTTCCCTCCTTATTAGTAAAGGGGACCAGAACTTTGTGTTTTAAATGTTCCAGCCTCCACAGGGGTCAGTTATCTCAGTTATCTACAGCTGTGCTAAAGTGTTCAGGGGCAAGGAAAACAATGGCTCCTCCCTGAGGCCTGTAATTTGGTGGCAACAGTTATCCAAACAAGAACCTAAGGAAAACATGACTCTTCAGAAGACTTAGGACTACCTGGTGTTGCCATCCTTCCCCACGAGGATCTTGCCTTCCCCTACCATTTGAAGCTACTGAGCTCTATTTTTTAGGGGGCAGGGACATGTCCTTACAATAAAAAAAACATATCAGTGATACTGGAAAGAAGGCAGATTAGATGGCTGGAGATGCACTTAAAAAAAAAACCAACAGGACCTAAAGGAGCCTAAGAGAGGGTGGGAGGTTCCCTGTTATCCACCTTCCTAGGAGCATTTAGAGGACATCCGAGGGACCACAGCCCAATGAGCTCCAAGTTTTCAGCAATCAACTCAGAAAGCAGGGCTTGGGGCCCACAAAATGTGCAATTACATCTGCGATTACATGACACTACAGTCACTCCAGTGGCTTAGCCCTAGTCAGAAAGCCTTCTTTCTGGCCTGGGTCCAGATGCCTGGTCTGGCCTGACTTCACAGTAAAGTTTGAGGCTTGGGGGAGAGCTGCAAGGAGGCAGGATGAAGGTCAGGAGAGAAACAGGTTAAAATGGTCATGCCTGTTTTCTCAAAAGACCAGAAGCAGCTCTTCCACAAGTAGAGACTGATACTGAGTTTGGGCTTGGAAGGAAAGGCCTCCTAGACATAAGTAGTTTCCCCAAGGTCTGAAGGGAGATGGAGCTTAAAGCTTAGAAGTTTGGGACCTAGAGAGTTGTTCCAGTTCTCCTACTCCTAGAAAGTTCCTCTTCCCTAAACCCAAACTGGTCTAACACTTCCATCCCCTTCCTCACAGGGAGAGTTGGGCAATAAGGTAAACATGACAGGATGTGTGGTCAGATGCTTGTATACAGGTTGGGGAGTGTTTGGATTTTTTCTCTTCACCTTTAGGAACCCAGCCCTTTAGAACTCAAACTGTAGGCCAGTGAAATGTCACATGCTTCTGGAGCTCCTAATTTGGGAGAGACTTACATCAGGTAACGACTCGATGAAGGGGTGTATGTTGGCCTCCTTAGCTGCCTGCACAATCTCCTCCTGTGACACGGTCCGGCTATTGTCTCCATAGGCGATGTTCTCGCCAATGCTGCAGTCAAACAGGATGGGCTCCTGAGATACAATGCCCAGGTGAGCTCGGAGCCACTGCACATTCAGATGCTTTATTTCTTCACCATCAATAAGCTGAAAACACAAATTTACAGATCAGCTTCTGGGCCAGGACGCTTACAATTTAGCAAAATTAACAGCATTCTTTCATACCTTAAAATAGCATCCTTCCATACCAGCAAATTACTGTGATACTGAGGAAAAATCTGGTTTCTTTTTTTTAGTTTGATTTGTTAAGGTTAGTTGAATAAGGGCATACTTATAGGCTCTGAGGAACTGTCATGCTTCTTACATTTTAACCTTGGTTTCTGATACATGTGTGTGTGGCAGGTAGAATAATGTCACCCTCCTCCCCCCAAAGCTGTCCACGTCCTAATCCCTTGAACCTATGCAAGAGGGAATTAGGTTGCAGATAGAATTCAGTATGCTAACAAGAGAACCTTAAAATAAGACATTATCCTGGTTTTTCTGGGTGGGCCCAATGTAATCACAGAGTTCTTAACTGTGGAAGAAAGAGGTAGGAGAGTGTCTCCAAAGAAAAGAGTAGACTGGCCATTGCTGGCTTTGAAGATGGAGGAAAGGGCCATGAGCCAAGAAATGTGGGCAGCTTCTAGAAGCTAGAAAATGTAAGGAAACAAGATTCTTTCCTGGAACCTCCAGAAAGGAACACAGCCCTGATGGCATCCCAGTGAGACCCATTTTGGACTTCTGACCTGTAGAACTGTATAAGATAATAAATCTGTGCTGTTTTAAGCCACTAAGCTTGTGGTAATTGTTACAGCAGCAATAGGAAACTAATACAATGCTTCTACTGGGATGTATCCTGGCATCCTCATTCTCATGTCTCAATATTTCACCAGAAGAGTGGCCAGAATTGGAACAGAATAACAGCTATGATCACATAATGGATGGAAAGTTCAGGTTTCTGATCTGACTTATTTAAGTAGGATCAGGCTTTGAGGAATCAGATAGAATAAAAGTGAGTGTGGGAGAGTGGTTGCTGTATTTCTAACTAATTGTTGATCTTGGGAAAGTGAATTTCTCTAAGACTTTGTTTCCTTGTGTGTAGAACAGGAGTAATGATGAGCACTGAGCTCAGAGAGTTGAGGATTAAACGATGCATCGCACTTACAGCGGTGCCAGGCACAAAGTGCCCAAGAACTGTCAGTGATTTGTAGTTGTGTGTGTGATGTACTTTGAACTACCTAAATAAATGGATAAATGGATGGGTGGATGAAAGCATGGATGGACATCTAGAATTCCGAGCCAAAAGAGTACGAAGAGGCTGCCCTTTCTCTAGTAATCTGGTTCTCTGAATTATCCTGCAGAAGCTGAGGGAGTGCCCCTACAGCCTTGCTCTTAAAAATCCTTACTCTGATGCTGATTATGTCTACCCAGCAGAACTGCTGTGTAACAGAACTCTGATGTTCAAGTGAGAGAGGTGCTCGCCACCTCTGAAGAAGATACCATGACTCAGCATCACTTGGGTTATGTGCTCCGAGCTGTTTTTCCAGTAGTGGTGGTAACTGTGTATTGAGCCATACATACTCTTTGTATCCTGTGTGCTGGGCCAGGTGCCTCTGGGAGACAACTGGCCAGGGGCAGGGTACTCTATGCTGCAGCCACAGAGCTTCTGTTTGTGAAGCTGACAGATACAGGGATGGAAAGCACAGCCATCACCTTGTTAGTACCAACCTCAGTTGCCATGGAGATTATTCTGTGAACTATGCTCCAGGCTGCCTTACAGTGCTAACAAGTGAAAGTGGAAAGTAGAGGGTAGAGAGAGGTGGTAACAACCACACAAAGATGTGGCCAAATAGATGATCTTGTTAGATGGAACACTATACTTGAGAAATGGAAATCTGAGAACAGAAGGAGTTGTTTTTATTTTTCCAGGCATATACCCCGAGGAGGAAAACAGACACTGCCTAACTAATATAATCACAGACAAATCTGGATTACCCTAGCAAGTTTTAATGAGTTTCCCCATCAAATCGAATGGGATAACACTTTGGGGCCTTCTCATCCCAACATGATACACTGGAATTGCATACTAGATAAAACCTCTGTTAGCAAAAGAATCCTTTATTCAGCAAAAACATACAGTTTTTGATTTATGAACTTCTGACTTATGGACAACTCCTACTTGCCCTTTAATGTTATGTAAACTTGCCTTCACTTTGAAACAACTGAACGAACGCTTACTCGCAGCAAATTGTTCATCACAATCTTCACTTGTGGCATGTGCAGCTTTTAAATCACTGGAAAGGCTTCGAGCATTTTCTTGCACTAAAGTAAGGCTAAATAAGAACTGTTATGTACATGTTCCCACTTACCTACAAATTCAATTAAAGACACACTTAGGAATGGATCTTGTTTGTAACTAGGAAGACTGCCTGTACTTAGGAGCTCAAAATGTAAAACAGAGAAAAGTAGAGGTTATTTAGCTGAAGCAGGGGTGGTGGTCTGGGGGAAGACCAAGGAACTGTGGGTGTGGGGTTCAGTGAAAACTATTCAAAAGCCACTGGCCTAAATAAAAATGTAAGTGGGAAAGTAAATATATTGGTAAGGAATAATAAAAGATCATATTAAAATGACTATCTCTATTGTAGATTGTTAACTCTACTGTTTGCTTTCACAGCACAAATAATCAAAAGTTAAATATGTATCATTCTACGTGTATTTATTCTGAAATAGATTTAAAAACTGAGCACTGACTATATTCTGGGCTCTATGATAAGCATATTTCAAGCATTCTCTTGTTTAATCTTCATAACAACTCTTGGGAGGTAGAAGGTATTTTAATTCCCATTTTACATAAAAGGAAATTAGCTAAATTATGCAACTTGCACAAGGTCACGCAGTTAGTAATTGGGGGAGCCAGGGCAGGATCTAAACATTATGGGTTGAGTTTTGGTAACACAAGTGTCTCATATTGATATGTATTTTCTGTCCTCCCTCAAAAGAGTAATGTCCCCATCCTGGCCCAGGCACCCACTGGGTTATATCCACACAACTGACATCAGACTTCTAACTGTGTCCTAAAGGGGAAAGAGGACTCTGACAGCAGTGCATGGGATGGAACAAAGAGGGGAGAAAAGGAAGATCCGGGAAAGACTCAAACCCAGGATTTAACGGTGAAGCTACAGATGCTTAAGCTTCAAGGCCCTCTTTTGCATGTAAATTCTGGGATTAGAGCAGTGCTCTGGGTGGGGAGGGAGGCCAGGTTGCAGTAAGGAAACTCTTCCACATAAGCATTTATGGTAAAGTGCCTACAGAATGCACAGAGGAAAGGGACGGGAATCTGTAAGGTTCCAGTATTTTACTGTGATTTTTTTTCATTCTGTTTTAACTATTAACTTTGTACCTAATTTTGTATTCTTTTCTTTTAACTAGAGGCCCTAAAATTGTATAACCTTCAGACCCCACAAAACTTGGATCCTCCCCTCGTCATAATTCTACAGCTTGATTTTTTTTTTTTTTTTAAGAGTCTCCACAGTTTAACTCAAACCTTTTCCTTCAAACTTATCAGTTCAGTTGCTTTCAAACTATGGTTGGCATTAGAATCACCTGGGGAAATTATAAAAGGCCAGGTCCTAACACACTTGAATGAGTCAGGGTGGCTGTGTTCTTTATTAGCTCTTTAGGCCATTCTGCTACACACCAAAGTCTGAGAACCACAGCTCCAGTCAGTGCTTCTCAAAATACGATTCAAGGCCCTCTGTTGGTTGTGAAGATCTTAGTGAACTCAGGATGGTCCTCAGGGTCAAGTCCTTTCTTCAATTCTTACGATCAAATGATGTTCAAATTCAAATAATAAGAACTAATTACTAGTAACTAACTGATTTATCAAGGGTTACTAATTGATACATTAAAAAATTGGTACACTGAGAAATGGAACTTTGAGAATTTATTGGAATTTACTGAGGCCACTTCTGCTAAGAAGTCAGCCTACTATACACCACTTGGCAATATTTCAAAGCTCCAGTGCAAACGCATGGGAGTAGATAATGGTATTCCTGCAATAGATGAGGAGACTTTGTTAGCAGTGCATTATCGGTGTCGTTGTCGTCTTGAGATGGCTATTTTCTTAGGCACTCAACGTTCATTTCCATATTCTTCTGTGTCTCTGCCCTTCCATATATCAAGGTACTGGGAGGCTAAAAATATTTCCCAGACTCCCTTGGTTCTGGAAGTAATTTCGTCAGATGTACTATGTAAAATCTGGGAAGCAGAGGCCAATTCTCCCCAAGAAGCAGGGGTGGCTAACACATACCCTCTGGCAGATGGACCTTTTTGCAGTGGCAAGACTCTGGTCTTGTCTCTTCAGGTTTGGAATAACTATGACATTGGCATAATTTTCTGCAGCTTCCTGGATGTAGGATCGCAGCTGCAGTGCTGTGATCTTTAAGTCCAGGAGCAGCCCCCCCTTTATTTCCATTCTTCCAGCCCCTCCAATGATTTTGTAGGCACCTAATTCCCTGTATTAAATACTTAGCCACTCAAAATACCTAGAGTGGTTTGTTTCCTACACTGCACGATAACTGATATTGTCCATGTCTTTAATTATGCTCTCCTTGTGTTTACCTATTGGTAGGATAATCAATCTTTACTTTCTACTTGTGTGCTGCTCACCATTGCTGTTTTCAGCTTTAACACTTTGCTATCACAAAGTGCTTTTCCCCCACTGGAAAGTGATTATGAGTGCAGTAGAAGGGTCATGGGTTTTTTTTTTTTCTTTGCGGGGGAGGGACTCTTTCCTAAATATCACAGAAGTTTGAGGACTATGACTTTAATTTCCTATTTCAGTCAAACTGACCTATTTGCTGTATTGTGAACTAATCACTTAACAACTGCAGCTCATAAACATTCTCTTGCATGAAATGCTTTCTTGACTGCTCACACTTATGCAAATGCTACTTATCCCTTAAGAATCAGCTCTAGGCCCACTGCCTCCTTCTTTAATCTAACTCCTGTAGGTCTCTCCTCTAAAGTCCTAAGGACCATATGACTCATTTGGTAGTGAACATGTTGGATGTAATACAGCAATACGTATATGCTTCGTCTTCTCGGTCAAGGGCAGACACCACACCCTATGCCTCATTATAGCTCAACATTTAACACACTGCTATGTGGCTGCTGAGGACCATACTCAGTGTCTGAGAACTAACATATCCTATAATTGCTTCATTTGTCAGTAAGGTCTTCATTTAGAGTCCTTCTTTCAAACTTTAACCCCAGAGTTGAAGCACAAAACTAGAATTCACAGTAAATACAGAAAAAGCTAGTTAAAAATAAATAACAAGACTTACACAGCTATTGAAGAATAGACTGAGCAAAGGTATAACTGTCTTTGAATACAATAAAAGGTATTTATGAGCAATGGTGATTGTTGTAGGGAATTAAAAAGAGCCCCAGACTACAATTTGAAAATTCTATTTCTACTTTAATCATTAATGCAACTATGGCCCCTATGGAGCCAGTATGCACCATACAGACTGTACTAAAAGCAGGCATCCTTTCTGATTGGTCAGTGCCCAGGCCATACTTAACCCATTGCCATCGAGTCTGTTCTGACTCATAGTAACCCTATAGGACAGAGAAGAATGTACCCATAGGGTTTCCAAGGCTGTAATCTTTATGAAAACAGACTGCCACATCTTAATCTGTGGAGTGGCTGGTGGGTTCAACTACCAATTTCTTGGTTAGCAACCAAATGCTTAACCACTGTGCCACCAGGACTTCTTCCATGCCGTATCAATCGTTAAATATTTTGAATATCACCCGAGTATAGCCAGTAATTAAGAACCTACATAATGAAAATGTCTTGCTCCAAATTCTATTCCTTTCTAGTTTGATTCTTTTCCTATTTTCTACTATAGTTGTGTAGAAATTTCACTACTCCCTTCAATACTTCTATCTCACCTGACAGGCACTCAATAGAGGTTTGCTGAATGTTGAAAGAATAGATCTGACCTTCACTAACCCTTTTAGTTCAGGAAACAAAAGGGAATTCCTCCAATTTCTTTATCCACCTCCTCAATTTGTTGAACTCACTTTTTTTCCTTAGAAGGTATTTGAATGCCTTCTATACATCAATGGTCAATGGTTTTGTCTCATCCAGTCAAAAACGCTCAAGAGTCCTCCTCCTAAAAATTTTCCCTGGTCTCTGCTTCTCCACTCAAGCTACTGTTCTTATCTGCTTTTCTTTCATCTTCAATCTTCTTGACAGTCTACACTCACTTAAATGTTTTCTGCTAACACCACTTCACTAAGAATAATTTAAAATGTTGGAAACAAGCTATTAATTGCCAAATCTTGTCATGTCTTTTCAGTCTTCATCTTATTCCACAGCATTTGTCCTTGATTGCTACCTTTTCCTTCTTGAAACAATCCCCATCATTGGCTTCCATCTAAACTGTCTCTCCTAGTGCCCCTCTTCTCTTCCTGGCTACTTCACTTTTTTGCTGACTCTTCTCATGTAAGCTGAAACCTAACCAAGGCAAGGGAGGTAGGTGGTGGTTAAGAAGGCTGCTTACAGGGGAGAGTTGAGAAGCATTATTGAGAGAGAGGCTGGGACAGATGGCACAGCTTGGAGACCATTTCTAGGATGTCAGACTTTTATCTAAACAGGGTCATTGTTAAAATGTTTGAAAAATCATGGTTTACAGTCACAAGTGTTACATACATTCAGGCATTCAGACAGGCTAAAACCTAAAATGAGCTGATTGCGAATGTGTACTCACCACTTTTCCACCCAAGGGGTCGTAGAACCGCTCAATGAGCTGGACCACCGTGCTCTTCCCACATCCACTGCTGCCTACCAGAGCCAGCGTCTGGCCCTTCTTCACCTTGAGGCTCAGCCCCTGAAGCACTGGGATGTCTGGCCGAGTGGGATAGTTGAACACAACTTCATTAAATGTCACGTTTCCTTCTAACGTATTCTAGAATCAGAGCAACATTAAATTTGATTGCTGCAATACCGAAAACACATTGTACAACCATCCCACTCTACCATCACGTGTCAGAAGGTAGTGACCTCGTGTTATGCCAGTGACCTTGTGTTACGCCATTTGGGTTTCATTTCAAACTGCTAGAATTTAATAACTAAGTTCTAAGAGAGTCAGTGCTTTTACAGCATATATTGTTATTGTGCAAATGTGATAACTCATATCTGTTCCCCAAGAATACAGTGGCCTACATATAATAAAATCTGATCAAGAGGATTTGCTTATAAAGTGAGCAGTATTCCTATCTCACTATAACGTTGTTATACAAAAGGATTAGATGTTAACATATATTGTTGGCATTTATTAAAATGAATCCATGATCAGGAACATTTTATCATCAGCAAATAAAACTATTTTTATTAAATTTCCTTTCATAATACTTTCATTCAGGAATTGGGAGAAGATCATACAACTGAAATATTGAACTCACTGGCTTCAGGCCTTCTGTGCTATAGCTGTCAATTACAGGGATTTTTTCAATGATCATGATGATGCGGGCTGCTGACACTTTGGCTTTGGCATAGTCAGGAGCAAAGGAACTGACTTGCCCAACTGCCATAGCACCAAAGACAACAGCTGAAAACACCCTGCAAAAAACAAAGATAAGATAGGTGCACAGAGTTATGACTGCAATGTACAAAAGTTGACATTGCTACAACCACAGCACTGCCTCAAATAATTACAAAACAGAAATTAAAAAAAACTTTTTCATTTAAGTTCATATCAACATAATAGACTGATCACAAAATTGCCCTTTTTTTGACCACTTTCTGTCTGTATCCTCGCCTCCTTGCAATGTGACTTTCCAGCTCTCCTCCATGTAAAGAGAGTTTATTTTTCTCCCTTTGAATCTGGGCTGGCCTTATGACTTGTTCTGGCCAACAGGATGTCCTGGAAGTGAATGTTGCCGGTCCCAAGCCTACACCTCAGAGGGGCCCTGCATGCTTTGTTCTCTCTCCCAGAACTCTGCTGCTACCATGAGAACCAACCCAGGTTAGCCTGCTGGAGGATGAGACACACAAAGAGAAGAGCTGAGTGAGTCCCAGCCAGCTAGCCTGTAGTTCACTTCAGACACATGAGTGAGCCCAACTGGGACCAGCTATGCCTAGCCTAGATCAGCATAACCACCCAGCTGACCCATGGACGTGTGGGCAAAAATAAATGTTGATCATTATATATATGCCACTGAAGTTAAATGGTTGTTTGTTACGCAGTATTATTGTGTAAATAGATAATGGATACACTCAGTGATGCTGGAATTACATCAGGTTCTTTAAAAAAAACTGAGCTGTGAGAAAGGAGAGTTTCTTACAGACGCAGATATTATGCTGCCCTCAAGATGCATTACCATTTGTAATCTCTGACGTGGGAATCATTGCAGTTTAAAGTTGGAAAGGATTTTATAGATGACCAACTCCAACTCTCTCTCAATGTTTGTGCCTGGACACTTCCTCTAAGCTGGCTTTCATCCTCTGTTTTAGGAAGTAGCAAGTTCTTTGATTATTTCAATTGTTTAAAAGTCCTTTTCCATACTGAAGAAAAATCTACTTCCTTTTGCACAATGCTTCAAGTCCTGGAATATTGTTAAAAAGGTCCTTTGCTTCTTTGATAACTCTTCTCACTCTTACTATTCTGCTGCCCTTCTCTGGGCATATTTATCAATGTGCCTTTTTAATTATTTGGTGTGGAACCCAAAAGGTACTCAGGAGGCCTCTCAGAATACAGGAGTCCATCACTCCCTTTCCTCTGGACAGTATGCCTGTATTAATGTAGCACAGGATGTCACCAGTTTTTTGTTTTGTTTTTAAGTAGCTCCAAATAAATCACACCAATGATTCATCCTGGGCTTGTTATCATTTAATCCTGTGTGGTCTTTTTCAAATGGGTTTGTTATGGATTGAATTGTGTCCCCCGCAAATATTTGCTGGACTCCTAACCCTTATACCTGTAGATGTAATCCTACTTGGGAAAGGGGTTCTCTTTATGTTAATGAGGCCATAGCAGTGTAGGGTGTGTCCTAAACCTAACCACTTCTCAGTTATAAAAAGAGCAGATTAGACACAGAAGCAGCATAAGTGGGGACAGACAGATGCTACATGAGTATCACCAAGGAATCAAGAAATGCTGGGTTACAGGAGCCGAAAAATACAAGGATCTTCCCCTTAGAGCTGATGCCCTGAATTCGGACTTCTAAATTTCTGTTCTTTAAAGCCACCCACTTATACTTCTGTTATAGCAGTATTAGGAAACTAAGACAGGGCTGTTCTTCGGACAGGTCTCCCCTATATTTTTCCAAAGCTACATAGCTGAGTGTCAGCAACGTCCACCAATTCAATACCTACCTTGGAAAAAAGCAATATATCAAATAACTATCTATTCAAAGACCCAATACCAGTGATGCCTGGTTTTGATCTTTCAAAGGTTAGGCATAATCATAAACAGCACTTGTATGATATTTGTCACACCTAGATGCTGAGTGGAAATTTTAAATCTGTTAGGGTCATCCTGAGCAAACTACGATGACTGCACAAGTTGATTTCTAAATAGAACAGAAATATTATACTAATACATTATACTGTTAGGCTTATGTGACTCTGGTTTACTAAATGTAAAACTGTGGTTTGTTCTCATTGTTACTAATTATGGTATGCTACTATAGGGTTACTACTGAGTCGGAACTGACTCAATGGCAACAGGTTTGGTTTTGGTTTTATTAAAGGGTAGAATCTTGCCCATCACCCAGTGGTGCCACTATGAGGGTGCAGGGGTGGGTGGCTGAGTGACACCATGAGTTACCGCACTGGGTGACAGTTACCACACTGGATGACACTGACCCTAATGACATCATTGCCATCACCAAATTCAGAAGCTCAGAAAGATTATACGTAGTTTTCACTACCAAACTGCATATTTGGGTACTTCAGAAGTACAATTAAGTCAACGCCTGTTTTCTCCTGACCAAGGTACAATTTTCTGCTTCACAGCAATGTAGCAGAAAAATCCCAAACCAGCTTTTCCTTTGTTATTTCTGAATTTCTCCAGTTCTTTCCTTCCAACTTTTCTTCTTTTATCAAGGAAATTTATCCTGGAATTTCCCAAGGCTTTCATGTACTTTAGCTACCAAAACTCAGACAGCCCTTTAAAAGGAGTTAGTCAGATCAGATCCTTGCTTAGAGTTAGACTCCTTCCCAAATGCCAGCGCCTTCTGGAGGCCTCTAAATCACCACCCAGTCACAGATTTGAAAAGGTCTGATATGTGTGAGTCAGAACTGGGGAGAGAGGAAGTCACTAATCCCCAAGATGAAACAGAGATGCTTCAACAGTAACACACTGAGACCCAGAGGCAAAATGCCACTTTCTGAACCACCAGCATCTATTAATGAGATTTCACAGTGGGACTTTATATCCAGGCATTAGGCATACTTATCTCAGCTTTATTTCCAGAGTTTAATTATAAATATCAACTCAATACTTACAAAAGAACATTCTCATAGGTCATGAAATTATGTGCCACCAAATAGGCACCAAACCGGAAACAGCCAGCATAGGAAAAATACATTATTGCCTGGGTGAGGGAAAATGTGATGCCAAAGATCTGTGCTTTCCTCAAAGAGTTCCTGAAAAGAAGACATTTTAAAACTTACTCGACTTTTATTTCTCAATGGGGCACAGAGGTGTAGCAGACAAAAACAGGTTTAGTTTCCAAAGAACTAAGTTTGGATTCTCTCTTTACCACTTACCATTTGTGCAAATTTAGGAAATTGCCCAATGTTTATCTTTAATGTAGAATTAACCACACCTCAAAGGGATGATGTAAAGATAAATGAACATAAAAAACTCGTTAGGATATTAATAAATGAAAGTTCCTATCCTTTCTCACTCTGGACATAAAACATATATGTACTCTACAGTAAACATTCATCAACACACATGCCAAACTCCCACAAGTTGCAGGAACTAAGCTGGGCATTGGTGACACAAAGAGAAGGCATGTTCTTGCCTTTAAGGACCTGGGGGCTGAGTTTGATAAATATTTTTACAATGGAGGTACTTTATGAATAACGTGTTATAGGAAGAAAAGAGGAAGCATTTAACTCTTTGGGGGACTTAGAAAAGGCTGACCACGTTGACATTCTTAGAATTTCTGAGCCAGATGGAACTCTGGGCTGTGTTGTTGTTGTTAGGTGCCATTGAGTCGATTCCAATTCATAGAGACCCTATGTTACAGAGTAGAACTGCCGCATAGGGTTTTCTAGGCTGTAATCTTTATGGGAGGAGACTTCCAGGTCCTTCTCCAGTGGACCTGATGATGGGTTCGAACTGTCAACCTCTCAGCAGCCAAGTGCTTAACCATTGCACCACCACGGCTCCTTCAGGGCTATGTAGGTGTGGGTAAGGACAGACTGGCAAGGGGACAGCACTCAGGACTTCCTACTCCTGCATCAGCCAGATCAGCTTTGCTTTTATCTGTTTCATACACTGGGATATCAAATGAAATTTCTCTAGAACAAGGGGCTCTATCTACTATTACCAAAGGTCCCTGCCTGAAAAGTTGGCAGTTTGAATCCATCCGGAGGACCCTCAGAAGGCCTGGTGATCTGCTTCCAAAAGATCACAGCCATTGAAAAGATGACAGCCTATGGAGCACGTGTCTACTCTGATACATATAGGGTTGCCACGAGTTGGAAATGACTCAAGGACAACTGGATTTTTTTTCACTATTACCAAAAAAAAAAAAAAGTTTGGCAACCCACCAATAAGGTCCAGTCCCCTCCTTTTACTGTAGAAGAAACAGACTAAAGAGAGGTTGGGCTTGCCCATGTTCATATCACTTATTAGGGGCCCCACTGGGATAAGTTCATTTAAGGAAGAACTGAAGGTTGCCATTGGAGAAAGGGTAAAAAGAAGAAGGAAAGTTATTCCCAGTAAGCACCACCACCTCAGTGTCCCAGACACCTCAAATTTCATGTTACATAAAGAACTCATTCCAGACTAAAGCTACTCCCTTTCTTGTATTTCCTATTTCATTAAATAGGGCCATTATCCAAACTTAATATCAATCATTCTCAATATGCTCTCCTCCTCCTTTTCCCATCAGTCAACCACTCTTATAGTCTACCCCAGAGATGTCCCTGCTTAGTTCTGGGTCTTGTCATTTCTCTCTTGGATAATTGGGTCCCTTCTAGTAGTTTCTCCACTGGTTCCCTACCTTCCATCCAAAGCAGTCTTCCTGGAACAAGTCTATGATTGAAAAACTCACCCACTCCCCACCTCCCCCTCCAGTGGTTATTACCTGTATGGTACCTGCAAACTCTGTCCATACATATATTCAAACTTTTCCTCCCGAGTCAGAGAAACAACAGTTCGGAAGTTATCTATTGCTTCAGTAGCAATCTGTAACAGAGATCAGCCGGTCACTAAGAGGCACGAGGGCAAACAGTAGCAATTAGTTTGAATCCCATAAAATAGACTTCTAAAATTAATTATTATGTATTATTTATTTGTCATTACCTATGAGCTTCTTCTATCTGGAAAAAGATACTAAGTAATTTATCAAATCGAGTTTTAGAACCAGAAGAAAGATTAGCTAATTCAATATCCTCTGCAGAAAGAGAAGGCTTAAACAGATGAAGGCATTTGCCTAAAGCCTAAGTTCTTAGACTGAGAACTCAGTGCTTTACATGTATTACAGTGCTCTTTCACCTACCATGGTCACATTTTAAGTTTACAGTTACTTTACATATATGTATTTTTTTACAGGTTTTTTTTAAAAATAATATTTTATTGTGTTTTAGGTGAAAGTTTACACATCAAATTAGGTTCCCATTTAACAATTTTTATACACATTGTTCCATGACATTGGTTACATTTTTCACAATGTGTCAGTATTCTCATTATTTCCATTCTGTTTGTTCTGTTTCCATTAATCTAGCTTCTTTGCCCCTCCTTACTTTCTCATCTTTGCTTTAGGGTAAATGACCATTTGGTCTCATATAATTGACTGTTGAAAGGAGCATAGTACTCACAGATGATATTGTTTATTTTACAAGCCAATCTATTATTTGGCTGAAAGGTGGCCTATGGGAGTGGCTTCAGTTCCAGGTTCAAAGGGTATTTTAGGGCGATAATCTCTAGTCTCTATCAGTCTAGTAAATCTGGCCTTTTTTTTAAGGAATTTGAGTTTTGTTCTACATTTTTCTCCCGTTCTATCTGGGACCTTCTATTGTGACCCTGGTCAGAATAGTTGGTAGTGGTAGCCGGGTACCATCTAGTTCTGGTCTCAGACCAGATGAGGCATGGTTCCTGTGGATTTTACGTATATTTTTAAAATGTGATGTTTATATTTTTTTCTGATTAAAATTGTCATTCATGATGACTGAAGAATATTGAGAATATGGAAAAGATTAAAAAGATTTTAAAAGTTATACATTGGTATATTTTACATATTGTTGTCGTTAGGTGCCGTTGAGTAGGTTCCAACTCATAGCGACCCCATGCACAACAGAATGAAACACTGCCTAGTCCTGCGCCGTCCTCACAATCGTTGCTACGCTTCAGATTAGTTTTCGTCTATTTTTTTCTAAGCATATACAGATTTAATAAAATTGAGATCAAAGTCTATTTTTGCTTTTATATCTTTTTTTTAACTTAAAAATATCAAGAGCATTTTTCAAGATCATTAAATATACATTAATAATGGGATGTTTAATGGGCAACTTAATGTTTTTTGAACAAAGTTTTCAATTCTCTTATTAAAAATAATAATGTAGTAGACATCCTTGTACATAAATTTTGTCCATACTGAATTATTTTCTTAGGAGAAGTTCTTAAAAGTGAAATTACTAAGTCAAAGAAAATAAACTATTTTTTAAGGAACATGATAAATATTACAATTTGTTTTCCGGAAAGGTCCTACCATTCAGTTATATTTTAATTGAATGTAACATCCATCAAGGCAATATGATTGGGACATATCTTAAATAAACGAAGTAAGAAAGAAACATCAAGTGCTGAGAGATGACATGAATTAATTAAGGTGTCAGGGAAGGCCTTCCTGAAGTAGTAATGATTCTGAGCTGGCCATGGGAAGATCAGAGTGAACAATCTTGAAGCAGTCTAGAAACTGAAAGAAGGCCCATGAGGCCAGAGAGGGTGGGCATGGGAGAGAAATGGTACAATACAAGGGCAAAGATGTTGCCAGGGACTGGAACACGCAGTTCTATAAGCCAAAGTAAAAGATTTGATTTTATTTCAAGTGTGATCAGAAGCTACTGGAGGGTATTAAGTAGATAATATCATGATCTGATTTATGTTTTTAAAAGATCAGTCTTTCTTCTGTGTAAAGAATGTAGAATATAAGTGCAGAAGCATGGAAGGAGTGGTAGCAGGGAGAACAGTTAGGAGACTTGTTACTGTGTGACTTTGGTCAAGTTACTTATCCTCTCTGAACCTTGGGTTTTATTTTCTGTCCAACAGGAATAATTCAATAGGGTTGTTGAGAGCATTAAATGAATTAATGTATACAGACCTCTTAGGATACCTGGTAAATAATAAATAATAATTTGAGGATGATGATGAGATGGGGGTTGATTTTCAATACTGTGTGGACTGGTTACTGCAGCTTCTCTACCCACCTTACCCTCTCAGAGCATTTATCACCCCTGAACTTGACTCAGAAAACCTGCCATATTCACACATACCCATTTCCATCTGCACCCCTTCCCTTGTCCCCTTTGCAGAACTCCAAGGGTCTTAAGTCTGGTGCACCAATTCCAAGGTGCTAACGTGTGACTTGCAATGAACCAGACTAGAATCAATCATCTTCTTCCTATAAACAAGTGTCCTTCCTATAAAAAGACTCCTTTCTGGGCCACTGATAAAACCTCATTCAATAATGACACTACTGAATAGTAATGCTTTTTCTTTTTTGATATTTGGTCCTAGATTTTTCCACCTTCTCCTCAGATAAGAGCCAACACCATAGCAAAAAACAAACAAACAAAAACAGTACAGTATTAAATGAAGTTATTGGTCGCAGGAGGTATTCCCTAGCAGGGGCCAATGCTACCTGGGCCAGACCCCTGTGGGCCAGCACCATCCTGCTGTACCTCCAGGGACCAGGCCTCTGAGCACATGAAGGGAAGCCTCATGTGAGGTTTGTCCCTCACAGAAAATGGTTGGAAATCCAAAGGATTTTCTTGAAGGATTCCCAGAGGAAATAGGATAAAGAGTCTAAGGAGGTAGTAGGGTGGTACCTTCATCATCATTTCTGTTGGTGAGGTACCTGGCCCAGAGACAAAGTACCTTAGATACCTGAGCCTACTGAGAACCAAAGCCACTCTGAACTGCCCGGGTTCCTGCCCTAACTCTTGGCAACCTTGGAATGTCCATGGGTAGATGTATCCCTATTTCAACATAATGCCCAGTTTTGGGGGTCAGTCCTGCTCTGACCTCTCATTTTTGCAATGATACAGATTTGTGATATCAAATTATACTCTACTGCCAGCAGACCTCTTTGTTTTTTAACAGACAGAGACACAACTTTAAAGCCCAACTGTCTGAGTATGAATCCTGGAAGGGAAGGAGGAGGACAGTGTAAAGACAATGTTCTGAAACTAAAAAACCTGTTAAAATGAAATTAGTTGTCAGTCTGTGAGCCTGAGTACTGGTTTTGTTTTGCTCATTTTCTTCGGTTTCTAATCTGCTGAACAAGCAACAAATAAGACTGTTCTGAGGAATGGTTATAAAAACATTCTCGGAGCATGATAAGTACTAGTAAGTAACAAAATTTTAGACTACTTAGATAAGTAATCCCATTTTAGTTCAATTAACTCACCTTCCCAGCACCTTCTAGTTCTTTCTTATCTTTCAGTGCTTGTCCAGACAACATTTTCATTTCAATAACTCCTGCTACTGCAATGATGGGCACAATTGCCAAGAGTAAAAGTGTTAAGTGCCAGCCATAGATTAAGGATATAATAATGCCTGTTCCAAGATTTGCTACATTCTGGGTAATTACAGCAAGCCTGGAACCTATAGCCTGAAAAACAAAAATACGTGAGAGCAACACTTTTATATTATTTTTAAAAATCCATGCTTATATTTTCTAAGGAGTATAACAATTCAGTTTCATGAAACTCTATTAAATATCTTCTCAGTTATGAAATAAGATGATTTACTTGGAAGAAATCTATTGGGTTTCTAAAATAACTACTTCTATAACTTCAGAATAAATGCTGGAAACAGATGATCAATAATCTGGACTTCAGTTACTTATTTCTATCTCTTCTAATTTTCTAATACTAAGTAAAAGATTAACGAAAGTGTGATCACTAAAGCAAGCTCTGCAAATTAGCAAGACAGAAGAGTCAGACACTTATACTGGGAGTAGTGGAAATTTCCAGTGCTAGATACGTATCTACTTATGTTGTTGTTGTTGTTAGTTGCCACCTACTTGGCTCTGACTCATGGTGACCTTATGTCTAACAGAATGAAATGTTGCCTGGTCCTGCACCATCTCATGAACATTGGTATGCTTGAGTCCATTGTTGTGGCTATTGCACCAATCCATCTCATTGATGGTTTCCCTCATTGTTACTGACCCTCTGCTTTACCAAATACGATGTCCTTGTCTATCAATTGGTCTTTCCTAATGACGTGTCCAAAGTTAGCAAGCCAAAGTCTCGGCATCCTCGCTATTAAGGAGCATTCTGATTGTATTTCTTCTATGACTGATTTGTTCTTTCTTCTGGCAGCCCGTGGTATATTCAATATTATTCACCAACACCACAGTCTGAATGCATCAATGCTGCTTCTTCCTTTTTCAATGTCCAGGTTTTGCATGCACATGAGGCAACTGAAAAGACCACAGCTTGGGTCAAGCATATTTAGTCAACAAAATGACATCTCTGCTTTTTAAAAAGAGATCTTTTGCAGCAGATTCAACCAATGCCATACATCATTTGATTTCTTAGCTACTACTTCCATGTACATTGATTGTTGACCCAAGTAGAATGAACTTGACAATTTCAACTTTTTTTCATTTATCAGGATGTTTATCAGTCCAGTTGTGAGGATTTTCGTCATCTTCACATTCAGGTGTAATCCATACTGAAGGCTGTAGTCTTTGACCTTCAGCAGTAAGTTATTCAAGTAGTCTTCATTTTCAGCAAGCAGGGTTGTGTCATCTGCATATCACAGGTTGTTAATGACCCTTCCTCCAATCCTGATGCCATGTTCTTCTTTCTACAGTACAGGTTCACAGATTATCTGTTCAGTATACAGACTGAATATTAAGGTGGAAGGATACAACTCGCTGCTATTTTTTACAGTTTTCAACCACGCAGTATCCCCTTGTTCTGCTGAAAGGAATGCCCTTTGATCCATGTACAGTAGCATGTCCAATTTTCTACTGATTAACTGAGCATTAAAACAGACTGATCCCACATGGTACGCTGATAAATGTTTTCTTTTCTAAATAATTATTCTTCTACATGCATTTTGTGAATGGCACAAATAACACAGCAAATAACAAAAGGGAGCTTATAAGTTATTTATACACTATAAAGTATATTATGTTTAAATGGTTAACATTTTGGCCATATACTACATGATATAATGTTGTTGTTGTTAGGTGCCATAGAGTCAAATCCAACTCAAAGTGATCCTATGTACAACAGAACAAAACACTGCCTGGTCCTGCACCATCCTCACAATCGTTATGCTTGAGTCCATTGTTGCAGCCACTGTGTCAATCCATCTCATTAAGGGTCTTCCTCTTTTTCACTGACCCTCTACTTTACTAAGCATACGTCCTTCTCCAGGGACTGATCCTTCCTAATAACATGTCCAAAGTACGTGAGACATAATCTTGCCATCCTGGCTTCTAAGGGGCATTCTAGCTGTACTTTTTCCACGACAGATTTGCTCATTCTTTTGGCAGCCGTGGTATACTCAATATTCTTCGCCAACACCATAATTCAAAGGTGTGAATTCTTCTTCGGTCTTCCTTATTCACTGTCCAGCTTTTGCATGCATATGAGGCGACCAAAAACACCATGGCTTGAGTCAGGTGCACCTTAGTCTTCAAGGTGACATAATATATAGGTTAAATTCTATTTACTATTTTCTTAATGATGATGAGGACTAACACCTGTAATGAGAAAATTAGTTTCACACTGAGGTCCAAGGTGGCCAATTAGAACACCAACAGAAGGTGGCACGCACCCCTTTAACTTGAGCAGCATCACTGGCGAGCCTGGTGGTCAATGCTCCTGTGGTGTTTTTAGGGTCATCAAACCAGCTCACATCCTGTGGGACAGAAAATTATCTTCATTATCTTAAAGCCATATTTATGAAACTCTTACTTCTATGAGGAAGTGACAGGGTGTTTTATCACTATATCTCCTGTATTTTTACGACTCAGGATTTGACACAGATTAGGTCCTCAATAGATATTTGAAGAACATATAAATAGATAAATTCAGTTGTCAAAAATTTTCTGAATGCCTACTTGGTTTAAGGCATTGTTTCAAAGCGTTAAATCTACACAACAGTGAACAAAAAAGACAAGGTTGCTGCTTTCAAGAAGCTTAGGTTCTAGTGATGAGAAGCAGAGGAACAAATAAGTATATAACATGTCAGATGGTAATAAGTGATACGAAGAAAAAGGCAACAGGGCAAGAAGGGGGAAAAATCGAGAGATGGTGCTATTTTGTAGATTGGGAAAGGGACAGAGAGGGCCTCTCTAAGGTGACCTTTGAGCAAAGACCTGAACGAAGGGAGGGATGATGACAACATATGAAAAAAGGAAGAAACACCAAGTGCAAAGGCCCTGAGGCAAAGGCATACTTGATCTGTTCATGCACTAACAAGAAAGTCTGAAGGGCTGCCACTAGTCTAAAAAGCACCACATTAGGGATGGCCTTATGGGCAACCATAAAGATTCCAGATTTCACCCTGAGAGAGATGAGTAGCTTTCAAAAGGTTTAAGGTGGAAGGATGTAATCTAAGTTATATTTTAGAAGGATGACTGGCTGCCATGAGGTGAATATACTGGACTGGGGCAGTGAAACCAGTTAGGAGGCTACTGTAATATTATAATATTAAACAGAGAGAGAGAGATGAGCCAAGGGTGACTCCAAGGTTTTTGACCCTAAGAACTGGTAGAATGGAGCCACCATTCACTGACAAGGGGGAGACTGGGTAAGGAGTAAGCCTCACAGGGAGGGAAGAATAGAAAGTTCACTTGGGGGAATGTTAAGTAAGAAATGCTTATTAGACATCAAACAGACAGACTGAATAAGCAATTAAATAACTATAGTTCATGGAAGAATAAATGAAATGGGTGAAAAACAAATCACCAAAAGCAATCTAGATTCAAACTTAGCATTCAACATAAAACAGTACTATCTTTGTAAAACCACATAATTTTTAAATATACAAATACTAGCAAGATTGTGAATTTAAAATACAAATTTATGTCTTTTACAAAAATAACTATGGTTCTAAGAAGTTATCAAAACTGGTGATTTGCACTTAGACAGTAGCTATTATTTTTCCAAAAAAATATTTAAGAAAAAACAAAGCACTATAATTTATTTAGCGTGAATAAATTTGCTTTATAGTATACCTAAATATTTGTGGGGTGTGCCCTGACTCCAGCCAGTAACTTCCTTGAAGACAGAAATCATTCATATTTGAATGCCTTACAATATTTAGTACTATGCCTTGCAAGCAGAAGGTACTTAGTATATGTTTGCTGTACTTTATAATTTATGGAGAGGGTCTCATACAAACCATTGGCTCAGATCCTGAAGTATAATGGACCTAGGAACTGGCCTCCAGGCTGGTAGGATAATGAGGCATTTGACCCTGGACCAAGGTTGACCTGGAGCCTAAGTGGTAGCTCAGCTATAAATACAGTTTGACCTGAGAATCCTAGGACAGGATTCCCCATCAAATAGTGCTCTCTCACCCATCAGATACAGTCGTGGCTCTGTCAACCACTAGCCAGTAATTCCCATAAATATGTCATCTTTTGGAATGGTGGTGGCAGGAGTGGGAAAGGATTGAGAACCCAAAGGCAGCTGGGAAAGTATGAATGTCATCTACAAAACCTACCAGCAAACTGATGCCTCTAGCAAGGGTTCAAGTAACACCAGCATGTCTGGGGCATCCTTCTGCAGCTTCATTTTATTCAATAACAAGTGATTAGTATAAAATGTGCGAGGCATTCCATTAGTCATTATCAGCTAGTAACACTGTAGCTCAAATTAGTACATTAGTCTAGTCCAGCAAAGAAACTGGACAGTGAGAAATGAAGGAAGCCAAAGGGATGAATTTTGATTTGTGGAAGGAAAGCGCACAGAGGATATCCCTTGGTGGGAAGAAATACTAGTGTCCTGGGTTTCCCAGTGGAAAAGAGAGAGAAGAAAAGGATGAGAGATACTGAAGATCCCTCTGCCTACTCTGCCTATGGCTGCCAAGACCAAAAGGCTGGAAGTGAATCTGCTCTCGTGGCTTCCTGTTTGTCTTGCAGCAATCCCATTCTCTGTGCTCACCACAGCAAACAGACAGCTGGCGTCTGAGCCTGCACTTGGGGGACTGGTCAGCTGCTCCTCTGAAATAACACTGGGGGAAGGACCAGTACAAGGGTTCATGGCCTGAGCAACTTGACAGCGCTCCCACTGCCTGGTCGACAGGGCAAAACTGGGGATCCCACACACCCCGGGACACAGTCCTCAACAGACATACCTGTCTCAGCATGGATCTGAAAACCATGTATCGGAGCCGCTTGGTGAGGATCTCTCCAGCTTTGCCAAATGTGAAGCCCTGTGAGGAAGAAAACATCATATGCTTTATTCAGCAGGATTTCAAGGGTTAGCTGTATTTCTATGACCGTGTACAGTGGAAGGCACACTAGTGGTGGAGCCAGGAGACCTCAGTTTTGGAGCGGCTACTGCCACTCCTCCATGAGCTGACAGACTATCTGAGATTAATTAGGAAATGTGTTTCCTTGTCCCTACTCCTACTTATTATCCCAATGAACCAGAGACCCTCATTCCGGAAACTGGAACTGTCCCCAAGAGGGGCATTCTAAGTAGATGGTGACATTATGTTATCATCCTAACCAGGACACATTTGAGAGTGAAAAGGGGTGGTACTAATAATGATACTAGGACCTGAGGTGTAATGTGGGACTCTTCAGGGCAAATAAGAATATATGGTCACCCCAGCCATAAGGATACAGAGAACAAAGATGTCTAATTCTTGGTTTTCAAGCTTAAAAAAAGCCAAAGACTAGGAGCAAATAGGTTAGGAAGAAGGCTTACTGAGCAAGAACTTCTACACTGCCCATCCCCTCCCCAAAACAACATAATCTGTGTCTGGGAAGGAAGTTATAGGCAAAGAACATAGTGAGATGTGATTGTTGGCAACCTGTAACCTGCTGCCACACTGGGGAGGGAGGACAATGGAACTCTCATCTCACTGAGTTTAGGCATTTAGGAGTAGATAAAAGCAGTGCCCCCTTTCTTCCTGGAACTCTGGGGGGTGGTAGTCTTATGGGTGAGGCCTGCCATATAATGGCATGAGGAGAGCAGACTGGAAGTGGCTGTATGATGTTATCAGAAGAGAAGAGCCCTTGAGAACAGCCTCCTGCAGGAAGTAGAGGAGAGCAACCATGTCTTCTCTGTGCTGCCAAGTAGTGTGTGGACATCAGTTGAGAAAGGGGGAAGAAACACATGCCAAGAGTATAGTGAAGAGGAAGCCAACTCTTCTAAGTGGTCCTGTGGTCATGACGAAGAGGGATAGCTAAGTATGGACCAGGTAACTAAAGGCCAGATGGAGCCATGGACATCTCAAGTTGCCAGCATGAAGGGGGCGGGGGGCACAATGTCCACAAACAATATTCCTCCACCCAATTCTGTAATATTATAAAAACCCTCTGCGAACAGATGCCAATCCAGTGAGAAGGAGGGAGGGGAAAAATCTTAGATTTTATTCAGGTTAATCCTGAAATTACTAAAGTGACTAAGTCGACTTGGAAATGACCAGTTTAAGGTTTCTGCTATTAGGCTGAATGGAATGTGACATATCTTGCTGACTACACGAATATTACTATTGTTATTTTTATTCAGAATTAGCCTTTATTAAGTGCTTACTCTGTACCAGATGCCATACTTTACAAACATTATTCGATTAAGTCCTCAGTTTGCCAGGCAAGCCAGCCTCCAGTCTCCCCAAACATCCCCAAATACTATCATGTCTATAAAGGTACTGTTTTAACTTCCTCTACTTCACTAATTCAAAGTTAAAGGCCCAGCTCAAAGTCTTCCTCCCTCAAAATTTCTAACCAACTTTAGCACTTAGCGATCTTCTCCTTCTCCAAACTCCTGTGGCATCAATAGTTGGTATGGTAATCTTGTAGATTATTAAGAGTGTCACATATTATCCTATTAGGGTCATACTTTAATTCCTCAATGACACTATAAGAACTTGGTGAAGAAAGAGTTCAGTCTTTTTTTCTTTCACGCCTCCTATAAAGTCCAGAATGTTTCATCTATAAAAAAATTTAATACATGCTTACAAAATGTTAAATACAGAGACCTATTCAGAGTTTTATACTGTGGTGATATTTGTGACATCAGCAAATAATTCATTCATTTAATGAGTGATTGAGTGCTTACTATCTGCCTCTCACAGACCTGAGTACATGGTCACATTATCTCTTTAATCCTCACAACTACCTTGAAAGGCAGGTATCAGCATTCCTGTTTTACAGATGAGGAAACTAAGGCTTAAACAATTTAAATGACTTACTTGATCAAGGACACAAAATTAGGAACTGGTGGAACTGGTACTCAAACCTAGGTCTAACACCAAAGACCATACTGCCTCATCCTACTAAACTTGTATCAATTAATCCCCCTGCAATTTCATTTTAGCCAAATAATTTGCAAGCTTTAAACTCAGGCTTTTTATAAATGTTTCCTTCAGTTTCTGTTTGAGGGTTGATATTCTTCCATCATTCAAAGCGTTCTTTCTTCTTTAGTAAAAGTTGAATGATAAATTCTTCACATATTTTCTTAACTCTGTGTGATCTGCTTATGAGTTTGTTTGTTGTTGCTTTTAGAATACAAGAAGACACTTCTTTCAGTATTTAAATTGTCTGGCAGCACTTATATCCAAACTATCCAAACTTTAGGGCTCACTCAAATCCCATATTTTGAGTCCCAAGCTTTCATTCTCATTCACTATATTAGGTCAAACACTCTGTTCCTTCTGATTTCAATAGTATTTCCAGTTGTGGGTAATGAGGGTGGGAAGGGGGCAAGCAAGGGGGCCAGAGAAAGCAAAACATTTTTGCTTTTAATGTCAATAGAGGAGCAACAGTACTAAAAAGCAAATTATATAACCAAAAATCAAACCCACTATCACTGAGTCGATTCCAACTCACAGTGACCCTATAGGACAGAGTAGAACTGCCTCATAGGGTTTCCAAGGCTGTAAATCTTTACGGAAGCAGACCGCCACATCGTCCTCCCACAGAGTGGCTGGTGGGTTTAAACTGCTGACCTTTTGGTTAGTAGTTGAGCGCTTTAACCACTGCACCACCTGGACTCTTGCAAATTATATAGATGCTTATAAATTCCAGTTGAATAATAATGCATTCCTCAAAATGAATAAAGTGAAAATGTAGACATTTACCTGAAGGAAAAATGTAATAAAAGAAATAATTCCAAGGACTAGGAACAACAGTGAAAATAAGTTACTGTTCTGTCGTTTGGTTTCATCATCATCATTTCTTGTAAAAACCTGTAAGAAATATTTAAAAGGTTTCAGTACCACAAAAGAAGAAGGTATTCTGGGTCAGACCCGTTGCCCACCTAGCACAGTATTCAAGGATCAAGAGAGCCTTAGTGTAATGGGATCAGGGTTGGCTTCCCTAATGCCAACCTTAAAGGTACACACATGCTACCTTCCTCAGAGGCCAAGAATGGGTCTGTCATTCATAAACTGAATCCAGTACATTTTCTGTTTGTACTCCCTCTTGAAGGAATGAATGCTACAAGTGTTATACCTACTGTGCAAAGTAGAAATGAGAACATTTATGTTCCTCTCCCTTTGGTGGGGAACTACATTGTGTGTCAATCTGTTATATTACAATTTGGACATTTTAAACTGTTCTAAGGTATCTAAAGAAAATCTGCTGATGTGATTTTGTTGAACCAGAGAGAGGTGGTCATTCAGTTAGCTCAGGCATTTCAGAAAGAAAGGAGGCTCCTGGAGAAATATCCTTTGTAGGGTGGCAAGTTAAATAGCCAGTTGGGAATTACAGCCAGCTGACCTAACCCCATAGATGGAGACCTTCCCCAGAGATAAGAGTTTTGTTGTTGTTGTGTGCTGTGAAGTCGATTCCGAATAATAGTGACTTTAGAGGACAGAGTAGAACTGCTCCATAGGGTTTCCTAGGCTTTCCAAGGCTGTAGTCTTTATGGGCGCAGACTGCTACATCTTTCTCCCATGGAGTGGCTAGTCAATTTGATCCACCAACCTTTTGGTTAGCAGCCAAGCACTTAACCACTGTGCTTTTTGGTTAGCAGCTGAACAGTGGTTAGCAGGGCTCCTTACATGCAGACCTTCCCAGAGATGGAGAGAAGGGCTAACAGAATGTCTCAGACTTGAGGATCACAGGGAATATCCACTCCACAGGAAAAGAAAACACGTATCCTCCTTCACAGAGGACAAAATCAGTCTTGTCACAGAGTCACAGTCCTAACCCAACCCAGATAACTGTATCCTTTATAAAAGTGTAAAGTTTTTTTTATAAGAGATTAAATAAAATTTTCTTGATTAGTCATGCCAATAAAAATAATAGTTAACAATCATTGAGTTAGCTCTTACTCTGTGCCAGGCATTATTCTAGGCAAATTCATGTATACTATTCATTTTATCCTCACAACCAACTCCTGAGGTTTGTTTTATTATTACCACCATTTTACAGAGAGAAAAGCCAAAGCACAGAGAGGTTAATTAATATATTCAAGGTAACACAGCTAGCAAGTAATGGCCCCAGGATATAAATCCAGGCAATCTGATCCAGAGTCCACACTCTTAAACTCTATGGGACAGATTGCCGGTTGCCTACCCAATATCTAGGAGCTACTATAACAACCCTGATTATCTCCCTCTAGACTTACTGTTATATGACGAAAACATTAAATCCATAAATTGAGCTTTTGTTACACACAGCCAAACCTATTCCTAACTGATCCACTTCCATTTTTTTAATGATGGTGCCACTGTCTACCTCCCTGCCTATAACATGTACGTTAGAAAAGGGACTGGCAAACTACAGGTCACTAGCCAAATGCTTATATAAATAAAAGTTTTAATGGAACACAGCTGTGCTCATTTGTTCACATCTTTTCTATGACTGCTTTTGCACTCCAGTGACAGAATTGAGTATTTGCAAAAGATACTATACAACCTGCAAAGCCTAAAATATTTACTATCTGACCTTTTATAGAAAAAATTTGCTGACCTCTGTCCTAGAACAAATGCTCCATAGAATCAGACACTTTCTTTCCTCCTCAGAATTTTTTCAGCACCTAGAACAGTTCCTGGCACAGAGTAGACACTGAATAAATATTTCTTGAATGAATACATTAAACATAGTGTGTCACCTGATATAAGTTAGCTAGGTATGGGAAGACCTGAATATTTCTTTCATTTTTTTAATCAAAAGTTAGTGTTTGGTCTATGTTTCTTGTGGTGATCAATCTCTTTCTCCACGTTTTCAGCAGTTATGGCAAGGGAGTCTCCCAGCTTGATGTCTGAACGGCTGTTACTAAACAGAGAGCATTCTTACCCAGATTTTAAGCTTTATTGTCGAAAATGCCATCATGACAATCAGCTACAACCAACAGATATCAACCCTGATCTTTAGAAAGACATTCGTTTTTTATTTTAATCCTAACAAGTTGGAGGGACATCAGACAGAGATAGCATGCCACACTTGCTCACGTCTTAAAGAATGTGGGTTAGAGAACAGCTCTCCCACAAACAGAGCCTGACAAACATGCGAGGAACTCTTTACATACAGGAGATATGACAGTTGGTGAGGCTTACTCAAAGCAGTATGGGAAGTATGACATTGTCTGGTATAGTGGCGGAAGATAAGCCCTTCAGGTTGGAAAGTACTCAAAATATGACTGGGGAAGAGTTGCCTCCTCAAAGTAGGGTTGATCTTAATGATGTGGATGGAGTAAATCTTTTGGGACCTTCACTTGCTGATGTGGAATGACTCAAAATAAGAAGACACAGCTGCAAATATCCATTAATAACTGGAACACGGAATGTACAAAGTATGAATCCAGGAAAATTGGAAGTCATCAAAAATGGAAAGGATTACTGCAAGAAACCAAAAGAGACCTATAAGTGGAAAAACATACCTTGCTCATGGATAGGAAGGCTCAACATTGTGAAAACGTCAATTCTACCCAAAGCAATCTACAGATACAATGCAATCCCGATCCAAATTCCAATGACATTTTTTAATGAGATGGAGAAACAAATCATCCACTTCATATGGAAAGGGAACAGGCTCCAGATAAGTAAAGCATTACTCAAGAAGAACAAAGTGGGAGGCCTCACACTACCTGATTTCAGAACCTATTATACCACCACAGTAGTCAAAACAGCCTGGTACTGGTACAACAACAAATACACAGACCAATGGAACAGAATTGAGAATCCAGACATAAATTTATCCACCTATCAGCAGCTGGTATTTGACAAAGGCCCAAAGTCCATTAATTGGGGAAAAGACAGTCTCTTTAACAAATGGTACTGGCATAACTGGATATTCATCTGCAAAAAACTGAAACAAGACCCATACCTCACACCATGCATAAAAACTAACTCAAAATGGATCAAAGACCTAAACATAAAATCTAAAACAATAAAGATCATGGAAGAAAAAATAGGGACAACCCTGGGAGCCCTAATACATGGCATAAACAAAATACAAACCATAAGTAACAATGCACAAACACCAGAAGAGAAACTAGATAACTGGGAGCTCCTAAAAATCAAACACTTATGCTCTTCAAAAGACTTCACCAAAAGAGTAAAAAGACAACCTACGGACCGGGAAAAAATTTTTGGTTACGACAAATCTCATCAGCATATAATCTCTAAAATCTACAAGATACTGCAAAACCTCAACAATGAAAAGACAAATAACCCAATTAAAAAACAGGCAAAGGATATGAACAGGCACTTCACCGAAGAAGACATTTAGGTAGCTAACAGATACATGAGGAAATGCTCATGATCATTAGCCATTAGAGAAATGCAAATCAAAACTACAATGAGATACCATCTCACCCAACAACGCTAGCATTAATCCAAAAAACACAAAATAATAAATGTTGAAGAGGTTGTGGACAGCCTGGAACACTTATACACTATTGGTGGGAATGTAAAACGGTACAACCACTTTGGAAATTGATTTGGTGCTTCCTTAAGAAACTAGAAATAGAAATACCATACAATCCAGCAGTCTCACTCCTTGGAATATATTCTAGAGAAATAAAAGACATCACACGAATAGCTATATGCACACCCATGTTCACTGCAGCACTGTTCACAACAGCAAAAAGATGGAGACAACCTAGGTGCCCATCAACAGATGAATAGATAAACAAATTATGATATATTCACACAATGGAATACTACGCTATGATAAAGAACAATGAGGAATCCGTGAAACATCTCATAACATGGATGAATCTGGAAGGCGTTATACTGAGTGAATTAGTCAATTGCAAAAGGACAAATATTGTATGAGACCATTATTATAAGAACTCAAGAAAAGGTTTAAACACAGAAGAAAACATTCTTTGATGGTTATGAGGGTGGGGAGGGAGGGAGAGGGGGACCATGGTTTCAGGGGACATCTAGGTCAACTGGCATAACAAAGTGTGTTAAGAAAATGTTCTGCATCCCACCTTGGTGAGTGGCATCTCGGGTCTTAAAAGCTAGTGAGCAGCCATCTAAGATGCATCAACTGGTCCCAACCTACCTGGAGCAAAGAAGAATGAAGAACACCAAAGACACAAGGAAAATATTAGCCCAAGAGACAAAAGGGGCCACATAAACCAGAGAGTCTATCACCCTGAGACCAGAAGAACTAGATGGTGCCCGGCTACCACCAACGACTGCCCTGACAGGGAACACAACACAGAGTCCCTGATGGCGCAGGAGAAAAGTGAAGTGCAGAGCTCAAATTCACGTAAAAAGCCCAGACTTAATGGTCTGAATGAGACTGGAGGAACCCCAGAAGACATGGCCCCCAGACTCTGTTAACCCAGAACTAAAACCATTCCTGAAGCCAACTCTTCAGACAACGAATAGACTGGACTATAATACATGAAATGATACTCGTGAAGAGTGTGCTTCTTAGTTCAAGTAGATACACGAGACTAAATGGGCAGCTCCTGTCCAGAGGTGAGATGAGAAGGCAGAAAGGGACAGAAGCTGGTTGAATGGACAAGGGAATTGGGTGTGGAAAGGAGGAATGTGTGGTCACATTGCAGGGATAGCAACTAGGGTCACAGAACAATGCGTGTATAAATGTTTGTATGAGAAACTAACTTGAGCTGTAAACTTTCACCTAAAGCACAATTTAAAAAAAAACTACAATGAGATATCACTTCACACCCACTAGGATGGCTGGCTAGAAAGGTGCCCTGGTGGCACAATGGTTAAGTACTCAGCACCTAACCAAAAGGTCAGTGGTTTGAGTCCACCAGCTGCTCTGCAGAAGAAAAGACCTGGTGATCTCCTCTAGTAAAGATTACAGCCCAGGGAACCCACACAACAACAACAGGATGGTTAGAATAAAACAAAGAAAGGAAAGGAAGAAGAAAAAAGGAGAGAGGAAGGGAAGGAGGAGGGAGGGAGGGAACAAGTGTTGGTGAGGATATGGAGAATTCACAACTGCCATACATTGCTGGTGGGAATGTAAATGGTGCAGCCACTGTGGAAAACACTTTGGCAGTTACCAAACAAAACAGCAATTCCACTTATAGGTATATATCCAAGCCCTGAAAGCATGTTCACACAAAAACTTGTATACAAATGTTCACAGAAACATTATTCATAATAGCCAAAATCTGGAAACAACTCAAATGTCCAACTGATGAACAGATAAACAAAATGTGGTATATTCATACAATGAAATATTATTCAGCCATAAAAAGGAATGAAGTACTGATAACATGCTACAACACAGGTGAACCTTGAAAACATTATGCTTAGTGAAAGAAGACTGACACAAAAGGCCACATCTTGTGTAATTCCATTCATATGAAGTGTCCAGAACAAACAAATCCATAGAGACAGAAAGTAGAATAGTGGTTGTCAGGGGCTGGGAGTGGGGAGGGGAATGGGGAAATACTGTTTAATCGGTACAGACAGGGTTTCTCTTCGGGGTGATGAAAATATTCTGGAATTAGTGGTGATGGTTGCACAACACTATGAATGTACTAAAAACCACTGAATTGTACACTTTAAAAGACTGCATTTTATGGTTTATGAATAATGTTCTCAATAAAGTTATTTTTTAATGCTTAAAAAAAAAATGAAATGGGAAAGTCATCTAACCAGTTTCACTGACAATTTCAAGGAGCTGGTTCCCAGGTCCCTAGGTCAAAAACCTATTGCCAGGACAAAAGGAGGTCCACAAAATTAGCTTTCTTAGCACAAACCAGACTTCTAGTCTTACATCTTCAAACTGCCTAGTTTCACATGAAGGTACTTTTTTTTTTATGGTTTTGGTATACAATAACTAACACAAATAGTTCATTCTTCAGTCAAAACTCACAAGTAAATCTAAACAAATGTACCCAAACACTTACTCCAATAATCCTTGAAAATATTACTGCAAATGCTGGTTGGAGACCTCCATTTATAATGGCACAAAATACACCAACTACAAAATAAGGCCACTCAGTTAGATTCAGCTTCAGGATCCTCCAAAAGGAAACTGGTGGTACATTTTCATCCTGGAAAACACAAAATATTACAATGGGACAATTAAAAAAAGAATTCATACTTAATTGATTTTAAGATGTAAACATTTTTTCCATATGTACAAAAATTTTTAAATCAAAATATCCTGTTTCTATTTCCTTATCAATTGATGGCTCTTTATTTATTTTTAAAGAATAAGAGATGTTTCCACAAACATTTAACTCTTACCTGGCATTTGAAAAACTACAATATGTCCAAGTAGGGATAAGCAGAATTTTTGATATTTAAAGACCCATTATAATCTCTTTACATTATAAATTGTAATTCTAAAATTCTTCATTTGAAAAACTACAATATGTCCAAGTAGGGATAAGCAGAATTTTTGATATTTGAAGACCCGTTATAATCTCTTTACATTATAAATTGTAATTCTAAAATTCTTGTCCAAAAAAAAATCTCATTCTAAAATCTAAATTGATTCTGAATGTTGAGATTTGGTGCATGGAACACTCTGGGGGATAGGACAGGAGGATTCTGGACAACTCTTCCTGCCTCCAACCCTGCCCAGTGCCCAGCCCACCAAACTAGGGAATCACAGTGGGAGGGCTTAAGACATAATACTCTACATCCTCCTCCATACCAGGTCCCCTTTTGTACTAAGGTTTCTGTCTTCGCCTTGTGGTGCACAGATGCTCTTGTGAGTTGATCTTCTTCTTATTACACTGGATCTTGAATCTTTTGGAGACATTTCCAAAGCATCACTTTCACTTTTGTATTCATTAGTTGCACCTGCTATTTCAATTTCATTTCCTCTTGTCTAAAATAAACAAGAAATACGCATAAACTCGTTAGGCTCAGTTAACCAATGAAAACCAATCAATGAACATCGGCTACCAGAAGAAAATGATAATTTGTTTAAAAAATTACAGGAAAGGATAAAGTTGAACTGCTATTTCTGTTTTGTGATATATTTGAAAATTAAAACCACTAAATGAGAAAGATATGCCATTAAATACACTGAAATAACATGGCATCCATTCCATGTATCTTATCTAATCAACCCCTTTTCTGTTGGTGTTTGGCTCAATCACATTCACTCTGGACGAATGCTGTCAATGGAAATATGGTGCAAGCCACAAATGTGAGCCTTGTCCTTTTAGATTTTCTAGTAGCCACATTCAAAAATGTGAAAAGGTAAAACCAATTTTAATTATATATTTTCTTTAACCCACTATATCCAAAATGTTATCATTTTAACAAGTATTCAATATAAAAATTATTAATGAGATATATTACACTCTTTTTTTTCTACCAAGTCTTTGGGATATGGGGTGTATTTTCCATTTACAACATTTCAACTCAGATTAACCATGTTCAAGTGCTGAATATGTGGCCAGTGGGTACTGTACTGAACCTCAGCTTTATTACCTTTTTTAAACTTTTCTTTAATTTTCTTGAATTATCCTTCATTTTCCCTCTTCTCAAGAAAAATAAAATCTAAAAACATTGGTCTGACTTTGCATCCTCCAAGTATTTTTTCCCACTTTTCAAGATAATGAAGTCCAGTAACATTTATTTATAGCATTAAACATAGCAAAATCAGTTTATACCTGAGATAATTTTGGAAAATGCTAGAATTGAAGTATACCTGCATTGTAACAAGTTTGAAGTAAATGCCTTTTTCTTTCATGAGTTCATCATGATTTCCTTCCTCCACAATGACCCCATCGTCAAAACCAGCAATGACATCAGCATTACGAACTGTAGACAAACGATGAGCTATCACAACAGTAGTTCGCCCTTTTCTGGCCTAAAGGGAGAGACATTTAGCTTTTGAATAAACTAACAATTACGTTGATTCAGCTTATATTTCTTGAACATCAATGCTTTGGGCACTGTGAAACTGTCAAAGCTATAAAAGGTAGCCTCTAATTTCAGTTAAAGTACAGTTAATTGATAATGGTTTAAAATGATGTTTTATTATAAGAACTCAAATATGATATTCACATATTAATCTTATCTAAGCCTGTAAATATTTTACTTAACTCCTATCAGCCTAAGTTTGTAGTAAAGTCAGGGGCTTATACCAACTAACACAACTCCACAGCCCAGGCACTGGCCAATCAGAACAGACCTTGGCCAGTACACTGTCTGGTGAATACCAGCTAGTGATCAGTCCTGGGAATCAGAACATCCTACCTCACAGGACTGTTTAGAGGATCAAGACAGATAATAAAAGTGAGGCAGCAAAGTCCAGACTTCAATGTCACATTGATCTGGGCTCAAATCTTGGTTTTGCTATTTATGAACTCTAGGACTTATCCAAGTCTTTTAACTTCTGTGAAGCTCAATTTCTTCTTGTGTAAAATGGGGATAATAATAGTACTCACTTCATAGGGTAGTTGTGTAAATAAAACAGTGCACATAAAGGATTTAGCACTGTGGCACATAATGAGGGCTCAATAATTGATACTTACTGCTAAGTGGAAGCATTATGGAAAAACAGAAGAGCTATTGAAATGTTTTAAAATGTCCAATCTTATTTCTGTCTGGTCTCTGTCACCATCTGTGACAATGTCAGTGAGCACTTACTGAACATCTGACATTATTGTTAGTTTCCCTTGAGTAGATTCTGACTTTTACAACCCCGTGTGTGCAGAGCAGAACTGCTCCACAGGGTTTTCAAGACTGTGACCTTTCAGAAGCAGATTGCCAGACCTGTCTTCTGAGGTGCTTCTGGGTGGGTTCAAACCACCAACCTTTCGGCAAGTGGTCCAATGCTTAACCATTTGCGCCACCCACGGACTCCATCTACCCTGGTGGCATAGTGGTTAAGAGCTCAGCTGCTAACTAAATGGTCGGCAGTTCAAATACACCAGCCACTCCTTGGAAACCCTCTGGGGCAGTTCTACTCTGTCCTATATGGTTGCTCAGTTGGAACCAACTCAATGGCACCTAACAATAATAATCTTATTTACAGTAATATGAAACAGAGCCAACCACAACCAGAACTACACTGAGATTTTTCTACCTTTATAAATTTCCTAATGCTTTTGATTTTTTGTATTCTGTCCAGTAACTAGCAATAAAACTATCAAAACAACCAAACAAACAAAGGATCAGTAGATGGAAGTGGAAAACCCAGAGAAGAAAAAACATACATGTGAGAAAAATTAGGTGGCAGCAACTAGAAAGTAGAGAATGGATCAATTCTTTGGATGTTTTAGAGAAAACAGGGACATGTGGAATTTCCCACCAAATTTACATTCTAAAGTATTTTTAAATCAAACCTTTAAAAATTGTTTTTATTTATAATTCTACTGTAGAATAGTAAGAAAACACAGATGCACAAGCAATAAGAAAACACAGATATGAAATTATAGATATGTAAAATGAAGGAAAAAAAGGAAGCCATAATCCTATCTACCTCCATCTTGGTTCACAGAATGTTTAGTTACCCTGCTTTTTGTACCCTCAATAATCTATTATGCACATTGACAGGATGTTTAAAGGAATACATATATTGTTTCATTCTTGGAGAGGGGGAGAGTTGGAACTGATATGGGTTCATCTTTGAATTTTACTGTGACACTTCAACTCAGCACTCTGCACCTTTGGTTAAAAGGTCTCTCCACATTCTCCATTCTCAAAGAGCTAGGCTGGTTACCACATATGCCTGGGACCAAGCACACGGTGCCTGGAACAGAACAAGCACTCAAATCCTATTTGGTGAATGAATCAAATGGACTCAAAAACTGCAGCAATATCAAACTCTGTTGATAATCAAGGACATTTCATGGCTCAGTGTTATGGATTGAACTGTGTCCCCCAAAAATATGTGTATCAATTTGGCTAGGCCATAATTCCAAGTATTGTGTGACTGTCCATTATTCTGTCATCTGATGTGATTTTCCTATGTGTTGTAAATCCTATCCCATGTTAATGAGATGGGATTAGTGATAGTTATGTTAATGAGGCAGGACACAATCTACAAGATCAGGCTGTGTTTTAAGCCAATCTCTTTTGAGATATAAAAGAGGAAGCGAGCAGAGAGACAGGGGGACCCTCATACTACCAAGAAACAAGAGCCAGGAGAATAGTGAGTCCTTTGGACCAGGGGTCCCTGTGCTGAGAAGCTCCTCGAACAGGGAAAGATTGATAACAAGGACCTTCCCCCAGAACCAACAGACAGAGAAAGCCTTCCCTGGAGCTGGCACCCTGAATTCGAACTTCTACCTCCTAGACTGTGAGAGAATAGATTTCTCTTTGTTAAAGCCATCCACTTGTGGTATTTCTGTTATAGCAGCACTAGGTAACTGATACATTCAGGTAGGTTTCCAACATCATAGGCTCTCTGCCCTTCCTCTGGGGAGAAGAAGTTTCTCACTTCTCACAGTCTTCCCCTGCATTTAATATCCTGGAAATTAAACGTGAATGCCCAGATTGTATTTTTCTCTTGTTGACAATACTACAAACTCACAAGTCTAAATAACAGGGTTATCCCTAAAGCTAAGTTTTCAAGATCACCACGAAGACCAATTTTCCTTCAAGTCTACATTTATTGTTTAATTTTAAAGATTTGCAAGTACGTTTAAATGAAAATTTATTCATCTCTACTTTAAAAAATACCAAAGAAATAAACAGAAATTAAACAAACAGAAAAGACCCAAAGAGGCCTGATGCTTTTATTTTAATATCTAAAGGAATCACTTAGAAGTTATCAGAAATTTCCTTTTCTAAGACCAATATTAAGAAGAATTAACAGTGGGATATTCTTATACTTATACATCAAGTCTATTTGAACTAAGGCGCACAGACCTTATCCAGAGCCACCTGAACCACTGCTTCACTCTCCGTGTCCAAGGCCGACGTGGCCTCGTCGAGCAGGAGAATCTTGGGGTTGCGAATCAGGGCTCTCGCAATGGCGATTCTCTGTTTCTGTCCTCCACTAAGTTGGGCCCCTCTCTCCCCAACCAGGGTGTCAAATTTCTACAACAAAGAACACATAAGAGGATTTAGCAAAAGAACACATTTCTCGGTTCACATTTTAAGATGCGAAGTAATTCTATAAACCACCCCAGTCCAACAGGCTATGGTCCAGTTCCTCAAAACTCAGCAACAACAAACTCCAATTTTAAAAATATGTCTGCTACTAGTTGATGCTGCTAGATCTTTAAAATCTGAAGTAATCTTGATTTCACTTCTGAGGAGCCTCCTCCTATGTTAGGTTTCTTCCTAACTTCCTATGTATTAAGCCAACATTCTAGTCTTTGAGCTGTTAGCATGACAAAGATCAAGGACAACTTACCTGAGGCAGTTTCATGATAAAGTCATAGGCATTGGCTTCCTTGACAGCTTTCTCAATTTCATCCATGGTGACATCTTCACGGCCATAGCGAATGTTTTCAGCTATTGTGGTGGCAAATAACACAGGTTCCTGACTCACCACACCAGTAATTTCCCGCAGATACCTTACATTTAAGGTCCTAATGTCCTGTCCATCAATACTGATCTGAAATAAAAAGTATGATTTTCATACATTTAGAGCTGAAATTACAATGTCAGAAATATCTGTGATGGTAATCGTTAACTGCTGTAGCATCTAGCTCAGCATAAGCCATCTCACCGTGCCCTCTGTGGGGTCATAGAGCCTCTGTATTAGCTGGACCGTGGTGCTTTTCCCACAGCCACTGTTCCCAACCAGGGCCACAGTCTGCCCACTCTGAACCTTCAGGTTGAGGCCCTTCAAGATCTATCAGGATAAATGAGAAATAAACAAACATTAATGCAACTGACAGATATAGGGTCTATGAACTGGCAGTTTAATTTAATGCTAGGTTTAAATATGTATATTTTTACAGTCTTTTAAAGGAAAGTATGAGAAATTCTTTATCCAATACATTGTTTAATCATTGATTAACCATTTATTATTCTACCTTAACTTCTTTTCGAGAAGGGTAACTGAAGTGAACATTTCTGAATTCCAAATTTCCTTTCATATCATCTGGTTTGTGCCCATTCTTCGAATAGCTGTCAATGCTTGGCTTCTACAAAGAACAAAAATTTAGAAGATAACTAGCTTACAGTAACTGCTTTTAGCGACATTTTTGGGAGAGCTGGAGAAAATGATAAGAATATTGATCCTCAACTGGAAAGACTTTTAGATAAATGGATAAACAGCTATCCTAGACTTACATTATCAATGATCTTGAAGATTTCATAAGCTGCTCCTCTTGCATTTGCAAATGCTTCAATGCTTGGAGAGGTCTGTCCAACACTAAATGCTCCAATCAATACAGAAAAGAAAACCTGATGACAGTGAAAAGAAAACATCAAGTTACTTAGATAGCCTTTAGTACAACATTTTTGTTGTTGTTCTTCCTCTTTCTTCTTTTAACACAGTGAATTAAATTTAAAATGGCAAGGCAACATATGAATACTGGATGCTAAAAAAAATAAGAGTTTAAATACTTTTCAGTTGAAAATGAAGGATCAGTCCTAACTGCTTAGTGAAATCATAATATAAGTTTTACAGAACCAGCATATTACAATAGAATATTTTTATATTATTTCAATGGCTAAGAGTTTCAACTTAGACCATCACCAAGGCAAAGTGGAAGCAAATATTAGAAGGAAAGTCAGAAGATCCGGATTGGCACTAACTAGCTATATGGTCCTTAGGCAATTCTCCTAGAATCTGTGGGTCTCGGTTTCTTCATTTGCAAAAATAGGCAAGATTCCATCTGTTCTCCCTATCTAGCAACCAAGCATGTCTGAAAAGACAATGTATATGAAAACATTTTGTAAAGTATAAAAAACACACGCCTGAGGCATTCTTTCTCAAGTTAAGTCTTTTCTTCCCCCACACCACACTATATGCTCTGAGGTTTGATAAGCAGGCTAATAAAAGTGGCACACAGTTGGGATTTGAACCACGACAGCCTGATCCCAAATCCTGTGCTCCTACTCACTATTGTGAATGTCTCCAGTTTGTAAGGCAGGTTTGGGTACAGTGAATCCTGGATTTAAAATTTCTTACCTACATCACAGAATACATCTCTCATCAGAACTTTGATTCACCCACAGCACCACTATCCTAATAAAAACTTTTTTCCAAAAGCCCCGGCTAACTGAACAGCCTCATAAATTTTAGATGAGGCAACAAAAGAAGAAATTACTACCTGGTTCCCAAGGAAATCTGGTTCCCAAGAAAGGGAACTGTTTTAAGTAACTAAACAAAATATGGTCTCTTGTTAACTCAATACACTTGTGCTTGGCCTATAAAAAAGGAATTGAGTGAAAAAGGAAATGAAAAAAAAATATATTATGTACTTTATTAGATCAAGATACATATTGAGCTTGGTTTGTGAATTATTTCACTGTTTTTAAATAGGACAGGATGGTATCATGAGTCAAGCCTTCTGTGCTTGTACAAAAGTTTATAATGTGGAGAACCTCTAAATAGAATATTCTTTTAGGAAGAGTATGGATTTATGCATCTGTAAATTTGTGAGGTGATTAGCCATCAGTCAACATAATTTGAAAAGAAGTTAATCTGTGTATTTTGCCATTTGTTGTGAACAGTAAATCAGAAAATACAAGAGAAGCGCTTAGCATAGAATCTGGCACACAGAAACAATTTCAGCAAATGAGAGTTGATCTTACAAAAATTGGTAACATTAATACTATTTGGGCTACAGGAGAATTTGCGCAAGAGATGTGCAAAAATGACAGCAAAACTGGATGGATGCATCTGATTTCCTTTCCACTTTTTAATCTAATACTGTAAGTCTCTTTGTATTATTCAAAAATATATTCTTCTAAAGCCAAGCCACAGCCACTAAATTTCATTAGTATTTTTAATAGTGATCCATCTCTTAATAAAATATCACTTACAGTGAGTACTTGTCCAATAGAATATTCCTTTGAGAGGACCAACGTGGTCCCATACCAGAATGCCAGAGCATATGATGCATAGATCAGCAGGAAAGCAGCACCCATAGAAATATTGGCTGTAATAGCTTTCTTTATCCCAATTCTTTTAGCTTCTTCTAAATTTTTGTTGTACCTAGGAGTAGGAATAAAAATTATCACATATACTCATAAATCTTATGAAAATGTGTCAATGTAAATACAAGGACATGCCAGACCAGCATGATGGTTACTGAGTGCTTAGAATGTGCCCAGCCCTGTGGTAAGCGTATTACATGTATTTGTTCCTTTTGTCCTTACATCAACTTTTCTGTAGAAGAGGAAACTGGGGTTTTTCGAGATGGAGTAAAAGCTCCTTCTTAGGCCTTAGCAACAGTGAAGAGATATTCAGCAAACTTCCGGAACTTGTACTGTTTCATACACAAAAGCCACAAAAACATTTGTGTCATTTATTAACAAAATGGAGATATAGTTCTAGAACATGTTAAATATGAGTAAGTCATTTAACTCTTTGAGCCTTAAGGAAGCTTTGCAGACAATTTGCTCCCTGTCTTGCCTCCCTCTGGGACTGCTGGAAGGAGCAAATGAGAAAATTTACGTGTGAGAGCATTTTGAGAGGTTTGAATTGCTATGTAATACTTTTTATTTTTAAATAAACTGACTATAATTTATCTTCTTCCCATAGACCATTTAAAAAAATCACTGATCTAAAATAATTATTTGGCTTAAAAATATAATAATCCATCATCATTTATCAGTGTCCTCCTTCCTTAGCCTTTCTACACATTGCCTATATATCATTCCCTTTGTCAATGTTTCCCAACATTTTTCATGTCATGGATGCTAACTGCTGGAGTAAGGGGCTCTGGCTTTCCCAGTCACCTTAAGATTGAGGGAATCAAAACTTCAGCACATCTATAACCCTGTAACCCATTCACAGCAAAAGAGTCTGCCCTATATCAGCCAAACTTGGATAACACCCATTAATACTTCTTAAAACAAATACAGTGAATTATGCAAAAGGTGGCACAAGCAAGCAAGCAAGCAAAAACAATGCTAAAGTCCACTGAAAACTTTCCTTATCCAATTCTAATGACTTAAAGCTTATTTCCAATAAGAATTCAAGTACTTTTAACCTTTTGTGAGTAGTTAACTTCTGATGTTAAATCTAAAGGAAAATAACTGTACCTTCAATTAAGCAGAATATTCTGCTTAAAAAGAGAGATGTGGAGATAAGCTAAAGGGGCCTCGATTTAAAAAAAAAAGAAAGACACACCTTTGCAAATAATGAGCCAAAGTAAAATTACTAGAGAAGTAGGATGGAATAATAAAATAGCCCCAGATCTGTCTTATCCTCTTAATCACTACTCCCTGCAGAATCTAGGACACTGTCTTGCTGAAAGAAGAAATTCATGATTAAATGCTGAAATTGAAGAATGACTTCCATATAGAATTCTTATTTTGAGATCTCTGATCCATAAAATAGATAACTGTAAATATTAAGTAAATTCATTAATTTTCTTTGGTGAATTTGTTCTATCAGTTAGTTATGTATGGCAGAATTCAAGGACTGCCCATGTATAAACATATATTCTTGCCTTCATGACAGCTTTTTAAAAACTAGTTATTTTTATACAACAGCATGCCCAATTAAACTTACAATGACAACCCTGTTCACTAAAGATCAAATTTAGAACTTTACAGTGATAGAATATTAACACATTTTTAGAGCTTCTCCTCCCGCAAAACTGTAAATCCCAAATTTTCCAGTTTTAATTTTTCAACAACAAAAAAATATTTTTGAGAAACGTGTTTCCATGGTTGATATGTATCTCCTACTTTATAAAATCACTGATCTGAAAGGGAAGGTATTACTAGACATACATAAATTATACACGATTACATTTAAGGAACTTTAACACTTATGACTCACACCCTTTTATCTCCTTTATTTCAGTTCTTGCTTACCTAGACTACTGCAGAAATCATTTCACTGATATGATGTTGTCCCATGCAGCCAGAGGAAACATTTGCATAGGAAGAAGCAACAACAGGGAAGAAAATCATTTAGATACCAGAAAAAGTAAATGAAAAAAAGAAGAGGGTAAAAAGGGAGGATAAATTAATACTACATGTTTTACCCAGGCTTTTTGAAATGCAAATCAAAACCACAATGAGATATCACTTTCACCCCCACTAAGATGGCTATGATAAAAAAAAAAAAAAGGAAAACGACAGGTGTTGGTGAGGATGTGGAGAAACTGGAACCCTCACCCACTGCTGGTGGGACTGTTAAATGGTATGGCTGGAGTGGAAAACAGATTGGTGGTTCCTCAATAAGTTAAACATAAGAAATTATCATATAATCAGCAATTCCACTCTTAGGTATATACCCAAAACAACTGAAAGCAGGAACACTAACAGATACACATATACCAATATTCATTACAGCACTATTCATAATAGCCAAACAATAGAAACAACCTCAATGTCCATCAACAGATGAATGGATAAACAAAATGTAGTACATACAAACAATGGAATACTACTCTGCCATAAAGAGAAAATGAAGTCCTGATACATGCTACAACATGGATGAAACTTGAAAACATTATGCTGTGTGAAATAAGTCAGTCACAAAAGGACAAATATTGTATGATCCCACTTATATGAAATATCTAGAACAGGCAAATGTATAGAGACTAAAGTTTATTAGTGGCTACCAGGTGCCGGCATGGGGACAGAAAAGGGCGGAGTCATTGCTTACGGGGCACTGAGCTTCTGTAAAGGGTGATAGAAAATTTTGGAAATATGTAGTGGTGAGGGTTGCACAACATAATGAACATAATGTCACTGAACATACATGTAAAAAAAATGCTAAAATGGCAAAGGTTTTGTTCTATATATACTCACCATAATTAAAAAGAAATCTAAAAAAACAGTCATACACACAAAACCAGGTATTAAAATCATCCATTCATTAAAAGCTTAAATATGAAAATGGTAATTAAAGTAGGAGTTCCTAAAATGGGCTAAAATTACATGACAAAAATATTGATATTCAGAAAATATCAGTATTAAATGTTATGAAATTTATTTACCAGTATGTGAATAGCCACTTAGAAGAGCAAGATGCAATTTTGGTTAAGCAAATAGAAATCAATAACAATAGGTAAACATATTTGCAAGAAACGCACCAGAGAGAAAACTATCATTTTTAAATTAAGAAGAACAAAACTATTATACACAACTGAATTAACTTCATTTTAAATTTAGGTTAAACTTCATTTCAAGAAAGCCAGATACTTCCTGAACCTGCTAATTTGAAAAGAAATTCAGACTAAGACTTTGATTGCTTGTTTATGTGGAAGTAGATAAGAGGTGAGGTGAGAAGAACTGGTAAGAAAACAGATGTATTATGTTTGGAACAAGAATAGTTCCATAAATTCTTATATATCCCAAGTCTAGGGACTTGTCACTCCTCCCCAGCCTCCACTCTAGATCAGGACACCAGGACTACTTGCCTGGACCATTACAACAGTCTTCCCACTCATCTTCTGATTCCACTCTTTACCTGTTCTCATCCATTCTCCACATGAAAGTGGTGTGGAGATTTTAAAACATAATGTGGATCGTCATTCTCTGGTTTTAAAACCCTCAACAGCTTCTCTGTGCCCTTAGAATAAAATCCTAACTCCTCACCATGGCCAGGCCTGCAAGTTCCCACGTTCTAGCTCCTGCTCACCTCAACTGCCTTGCTTCACCCCAATCTCCCCTCACCCAACCAAGCTCCAGTCACACAAGCCTTATGATCTTTCCTAGAACATACCAAAGTCTTTCCCATCTCAGGAATTTGGAAGACTCTTCTCCTGACCTATGGCAGGCTTTTTCGCAACCCTCAGGTCTCAGCCTAAATGAAACCTCCTCATATTTAAAGTAAAATTGTCTTTCCTATGATTATCAGCATATTCTTTGATTCCTTCAGAGCACATGTAAAAAATCTATAATTTAATCCATTTCTTCCATGACTGTTTTCCTACCTTCCTTGTTATTTTCCCAGCTACCTACCTTCCTTCCTTCCTTCTTTGTCCATCTTACTGTCTTGACTAAGGATTACACAAGGGCAGGTATCCTGTATTTCCTATTCACTACTGAAAACCCAGAGCCTAGCACAGTCCCTGGCATGTAAGAGGAGCTAGATAAATTTGTTGAATGAATAAACTTTCAAGAAATGGTCAAGCTGGAAAGAATAGTAGGTCATCAGGTTGTAGTTTTGAGTCTACTCTTGATCTCCAGGCAAAACTACCTTTAATTTTCCAGGGAAGAATGTTCTTTCAAAAATTCATTCCAGTAACTAATATCTTCTGAAGAAATTACTCCACATATCTCTGAGTAAAATGAATCTCTGTGTAAGCCCATTTGCTTTTATATTTATTAATGAAAAGTTGATCACCATCTTCTGTAGGAAAAAAATCTTTCTGTACCCTAATTAATTAAAAGCATTCCATTTTGTTTTTTATAATCTCAGTTCTTTTAAACTTTTAGTGAACTAAAATTATCAGATTTCTCTAAGTTCTGATTGCTGGACTAGGCCACGTAATGTCCTTTCTCTTCTTACCCATTCTGCCTTCCATACATCAATATAGTTTTCACTGCTAATAATAATAATTTTAAAAATATTGTCATATTCCTCGAATTTAGGGTGACAGTTGGAAGAAGTGCTGTTATTCTGTTATTTTATCTACTATTAAGAAAGTAAGAAGCCCTGGTTGTGCAGTAGTTAAGTGCTTTGCTGCTAACCAAAAGGTCAGTGGTTTGAACCTAGCAGCCTCTCCTTGGGAGAAAAATGTAGCAGTCTGCTTCCGTAAAGATTACAGCCTTGGAAATCCTATGGGACGGTCCTGCTCACAGGGTCACCATGAGCCGGAATCAACATGACAGCAACAGGTTTTTTTTATTAAGTAGTTCAGTAGGAAACTATGAAGCTGGGACCCAAACAGCTTCAGTAAAATAAGCAACACATATACCATACAGAAATAAAGAGCAGAACTTGTGTGTCTCAACCTTAGCACCACATGAGGGGGCGGGGGGAAGCTTCCCCTGAGAATTTGAACCGTAAGGCAGTAGTACTCATGC